TTAGCAGGAGCTATATTCTGTTTGGCACAATTCTGCTTGCTGACTACACTTTGGGCATAAAATTGGAAGAGATACAAATGGTTCTAAAACAGCAAGCTACAAACTGCATTAAAAACTGTGACATACAAGAAAGGCATCAATCTTCTTTCTTTAACTTAACTTTGATCCCTGAACACATACACTGTTTCATCCTCTGATGCTGCCTAAAACCTTACTGCCCAGTATATTTGTGAAATTAACAGACATAAGGAAGAAGCTCTTCACTGTTTGGGTGGTAGCACATTGGAACAGGTTGCTCAGAGAAGCCGTGGCTGCCCCATCGCTGGCAATGTTCAAGGCGAGGTTGGATGGTGCTTTGAGCAGCCTGGTCCAGTGAAAGGTGTCCCTGCCCATGGCACTAGATGATGTAACTAGATGATCTCTAACATCCCTTCCAGCACAACCACTCTATGATTACTCTATGATAAAGGTGAGAATTACCTAATAATTAAAGACTAGGAACCTGGAGCCAGAACTGGAGTTCTGTTAGCAGAGCTATGACTGACCACCTCACCCTGCACAACTCGCTTTTCACGTGCAAAACACAGCTTGGCAAAACAAACAGACAAGCACGACTTTCTGAAAGCATGCTAGCATTTTCAGAAGAAAAAACATTCCTTAGTTACGAAGCTACTGCCTGACTGAAAACACTCCACAGCTATTTTAGCTGGGCCCGAAGCCGCGGGCTCGCCGTAAATCACGCACCTGCCGGGGGTGCTGGGGTTACTACCCCGCGCGGGGCCCTACACGCTGACACTGAGGCGGGAGCGCAGGGCGGTCCGCGGTCACGCAAAGCCGCGCCGGTGGCCTGGCACGGAGGAACCACTTCACACAGCTTCCTGACAGCGACAGTCACTTTCCTCACGCGGCCACCAGCAGCTGTCGCAGCCTCAGCGAGCTTCTCCCTCTGGACACCTGTGGAGTGAATGAGTACATCGCCCGCCGTGAGGCTGCCCAAAGAGTCCGGGCTGAGGCTAGAGCTGCCTTCCGTGTCCATGAGAATCTCGTCACGGAGATCCGGAGGGGAGCCCAAAGCAGGATCGTGACAAAGAGGCCACGCCTACGGGCCGGGCGCTAAGGCGGCAGCCGCCCCACCGCCTGCTCCCGCGCAAGGAAAGCGGCCTGAAGGCTGCGGGAAAGTGCTTCCCGCCGCGCCCCGAACACGGCTGCACCGCCCGGCGCTCTGGCTCACTCAGAGCCCCTTCCACCGCCCATGCCGGAAGCACCCGCTGCCATGGCAACGGCGCCCCGCCGCAGCCCTTCACGCGTGCGCGGAGCCCTGTCCCCAATAGTGTCCGGAAGGAAACCCACTCCCGAGCCCTGCTCGTTTCCAGTAGCGCAGCGCGGGGGACAGATAAGAGCGTTGTGCTTCCGGCGGGAGCGTAAGCTTGCCGGTAAGTCTGTGCTCGCTGATTCTCTTTCCTGCGCGGGGACTTCATGCGCTGTGGGTGAGTGCGGGCGCCGCCGCTACTGACGGTCCGCTGCGGGCGGGAGGGCCCTGGCGGGGCCATCAAACGATGAGGTACAGCAGTGAGGTATGGCAGGCTGGGGCCGGCCGCTTCCGGGGCAGGCTGGGCTGGGCTTGGGACGACGGGGATGAGGGATGAAAGAGCTCCTGTGGATGAAGGAAACCGCGTTCCGCTTCTGGAGCTGTCCTAGTGCTGGTTTCTGTCCCTCCGCTCGTACCGGCGCTGTTGGTCGGGGTTTGGCGTAGTTGAGGTCTCCCTGGGCAGAGAAGTTCAAGGTGCCCTTGAAAGTTAAGAGCTGAAGGATGTAGTTAAAAAAACGGAAACAAGCATACAAAATCACGGTGAAATTGTTTTCTCTCCAGCCACTTCAAGTTAGAGGCTGATGTTACTGTGTCAAAAGTATCAGGCTTAATCTAACTTAAATAGGCAATCACTTAGGAAAAAAATGTGTTTTCTCTCAGGGCAGTCACCCTTGGGTGTGCTCAGCCTGTTCAGAGGGGTTCTCAGGTGTCTGATACTAGACTATGGTAACTTTAGCCTTGGGAAGTCTTCTGCTATTGATTACTTTTGTCATCAGAGCAGGGTCTAGCCCACAGCCATGAGGTTGTGAATGATAATAATATGTGCACCAGGTACAGTCTATTATCCAGTCATCTTCTGACCACTCCCTTTCTCATCTCACCATGTGTCTCCAAACACTGAAAGTAGCATGTGAAATGAGGAAGAAACCTTTTCGCCATAAACTTTATGTGGTTAGTTTTGCAGCCTGCTTATTTCATAGGTATTTTTTCTCATAGTTTCATGGAAGAGCTCCAGGGCCTTAACGAAGGGAGACGTTCCTTGCTGTTGGTACTTTCCCAGTGAACGAGCACATCCAGACCATGTGGCCCTTGTTACAGAAGTTTATTTAGAGATAACTGCTTTCTTCAGTGTGACATGTTTAAAAATGCAGTGCTAAATTCTCAAACCATGTTTAGCCCAGAGAAAAGTAATCCAGGCTCTGTAGGCTTAAACCTGAAGCATGCTGGAGTTGTTTGAGCAGCTCTGTAAGCTCTGTGGTGCATTAGCTGAGGTGCAGAGCCCTGTAATGGATTCTTCTGTCACCTATTTTTTCTTGTTCCACAGGCTGGAGAGAAAGGGGACAAACAACAGGAAAATTTTAAATTATATATTTAATAGACTTTAAGAATAAGCCAGATATTCTGGGAATGTTTAGGAAGTGCGGTTTTAGATGTTTAAGGCAACTATCTATAATTTATGGCTAATGAAGAGGTGCAGTAGAGCCATACAATTTCACTGCCAGCTGTGTAGAAAGCATAAAATACCTGCAGAGGCACAAGAGTTTCAGACACTTTCAGAGTGTCATTGTGCTGATTTAAATCAGAGCTATCTCCCAAGTGCAAGCGTAAAAGCTTTGTGGAACTGCAGTTCACTAAATCTAATTTTAAGCTTGGCAAAGTAGTTGGAGAAGAATAAAAGGTGAGGTTTGCTGCAAACAAGCATAACGAAGCAATACTGAGTGTCAGAAAACAGCACTGACAGTTGAAGCCTTTAACTGTGCTTGGGAGAGGGCAAAAGTCTTTCCTGTTCGCTATGTTTTCTAACTCTCTGTTTAATAATCTACTTAATCTGACTTTATAGAATTGTCACTGATTTTCCTTCTAATAGGCTGAGAAATCTCAAGTGGGGTCACCATCCATTTTCACAGGTTGTCCCAAATCAAAGTCATGTCCAATTCTCCTAAAACAAATTAGATTATTACATTAACCTGAGTAGCCCCTTCTGAGCAACCATAGACTCTCCTTAAGACTAATGTTTGCAACTTATCCGCCCATGATGAATTCTTGGTTGTGGGGGTATGCAGCTTAAACTCAGTATCATGTGCTCTTTGCCTCCAGTCCCTGAACTAGCTTACTGTGCAGTGGCAAAGCATAATGCTAAAAGGCTGATGTTATAATCCCTTTGCTGCTGGAAGGGAGTGTTGGGAGAGAGCACACTTGTGACAGTTCCACAGTGCTATTTTTAGTTGCTTAGTTTTCTTTCCATTGTACAAATTATTATTGTCTCTTTGTTCTTGTTTAGAAGGCTTGCTTACCCTATCCCTTACCCCTGCCAAGAAACTGGAATAGTTTAAGATTTCTAACACATTAATGTCTTGCTCAAAATTTGGCAAAACGTAATACAGGATTAACTGTAAGTAGCCCTCGCTAAAGGGCTGAATGAACTTTTTTCACAAAGAGACTGCACTTCAGTGCTAATTTTTCTTCTACAAGTTGACGTGAATTAAACTGAAGGATCTTATTCTTGTTAACATGTAATATTACTTTGCATTATCATCTGGGATAGGTCTTAGATAATGTGTAAATTAAGGGAAAAGGAAGACTACCTTTCAGTATTCTACTAGGAAACCAGCAGGGATGCTTTCAAGCCTCATTTACTGTGTTGGATTAGGAGTGTGAGTCTTCCATGAGGATAATAGCTTAAATTCTTGGATCCATGATTGTTCATTCTTCCCTTTTCTTTTGCGTATTTCACTTCCTTTAAGGCCATTCTTATTCTTTTGTGGGTTTTTACATTTAATTCACTATGTTCAATGACCAGAACATTTGCTCCAATTTAAGTGTTTGGTGAGAATGTAGCTACATAGAAACCAGGCATCTGCATCTCTGCAAGCTGTCCTATGCTGCATTTATTCAGAGTGGCTACAATTCCAATACTTGCCTTTCTTCCTTACTGTCTTTACAGATGGCATCGAAAGTCACTGAAACTATAGGCTAGAAAATATTATTGCTTGCTTCTCCCTCCCACTCCCACCCTAGTTCTACTGTGTGAGTTTGAAAGTATTTATAGCATTTAAAGTGATTAAAAAAAAATAATATTCTATAACTGTTTGAAAGGCTTAAAAGGTGTCTAAAGGACAGTAGTTAACAGGTGTATCTGTGAAGGTTGCATGCCTGGACATTTTTAACTGAGTGCATTTAAAATAGATAACTTTTTTTCAAGTGGATGGCTTGAAAGTTTGCTAGCAAAGCTGCGTTTAAACACACTTCAAGGACATATAAAATTGATTCTGTTGTAAAATGCCGCAGTTCATATATATGATTTTTGCGTGAAACTTGACTTTTATCTTCAGAACAGGTGACTGAATCACAAGCAGTAGAATATGGCTGGACAAATCTCAGAAGCTGATCAGATCAAGCAGGTAAGATGCTGTATTCATGAGTGGTGTCTTCGAAGATCTTCTGTTACTTTGTCACATAGAGGAAAAGGTGTAGGGCATAGAGAAGGACAAAAATTTCTTGTTCTGTAGCAACCAAAATTTAAACATTTGGGCCATTGACAAACACAGTATAGTATCTGATTTGAAATACTAGCAGCATTTGCTGCTGACATATTCTGACTAATAGTAAATTTTTCTACTGACTCATTCTTGAGATGTTACTGTCACGAAATGGCCCATGCAGCTGTGCATAAAAAACGTTGATGTAGAAATTTTTCTTAATACTCATTGTCTAATTTTTATTTATAGTTCAAGGAGTTTCTTGGAACATACAATAAAATTACAGAAAACTGCTTCCTGGATTGCATAAAAGATTTCACTAGCAGAGAAGTTAAACCAGAAGAGGTAGGTATATGCTTTTAATGACCCTTTGGTAGAATTGCTGTATAGCATTCGAGTTTCAGAAGCGACTTAGGAAGTTTTGATCTTTCAACTAGTTAAAAAGGTAGGTAGCAGTCTTTAGTGGAGTACAGGTGTCTGGAATGTAGCTTCCAAGTTAGAAAGGAAGCGACTTAGTGGAAGAAACAGCTTGTCTGTAGTTTTGCTTCTCCAGATACGTCCAAGGTGATGCCAGATACTTCTCTGCACCCTAACAGTCTGTTTGCAAAGAGAAGTCAACCAAGCAACCAAAGTAAAGTGCTTTTCATGATTAAGATCATCAGCTACAAACTATGGGCTAGGACCTCTTGAGGTTTTGTCATTGTTGTCTTTTCAGTATGTATACAAAGGGAGTCTTCCTGATCTTACTTGAATATTGGCTACTTATTCTGTGTATTTCATTCTCTGAGCTGTCAGTGGAGGTTCTTGTGCCTCAACTTCTGATGGATGGTATCTTTATGGACATGGAAGTTGCCTACCTACAGCCTGCATCCCATTCTTTGAAGGTAGAATCCTACTGAAATACTTGTTTACCTGCCTATGTTCCCTGCTTTGTAGTGAGCCACAGAAATGCAGGTCTCCAGAGCTCTGGTTGTTAAATCCACTTCTGCATTGCAGGAAGCTCCATCACATCATAGACGTCTGCAAGAAAGATTAAGCTCTCAATTACATTAGTTGCATGGGTTTTGCCTCACCTCTCCTCTCCTGTTGAGAAGCTGTTTCAGAAGCTCATAAATTTGTTGGTTAAAAGTCTAATAAACTTTGCATGACTCCACTGGCAGAAAAAAAACAACCCAAAGTTTTAAACTAACCATTGTTTTTGAGCATTTTCTGCCTCCTTGGACTTTAACTCCTCAGCGCAGGTAAAAATTATGTCTCCTTTCAGCTTTTGTTCTGCTGCTCTAAACAAAGCTCCCTTACCTTCCCAAGATGGATTCCTTGTTTCCCTGATCTTCTCTGCATCTGCTTTAACGTAACTTTTATTACCTGTAGGAGGTCAGAATTATTCTAGGGTTTGTACTATCTTTTAACAAGTCATTTTGAATTACTTGAACAATACAAGGAGTGTCGGTTAACAGAACTGGCAGAGGTGTTGGCAGCACATCTCTTTACCTTTCTGGATGGTATTTGATTTCTGTCAGAGGGTTGCACTTTCTCTGCTACACAAAGTGTTACTAGAATTTCTTTAAAAGTAGCAGTTCATATAGTCTTTCATTGAAGACCTGAAATCCAAAACAAATGAACACTTATTGGAGGGGAATTAAAGATTTAGACTCCCAAAATACTTTTAGATTCCTTTTTTTTTTTTTTTTTTCTTTTTCTTTCTTTCGTTCTGTGGTCTGCAAAGGGGCCATGTCAGTAGCACAGGAACCATTGAAGGCTAGGAAGAATCTCTCTGATGGGAAGTAAGTTTTGCCCATGATTATCCATTATGGGGTTTCCTGCAGAGCAGCTGGCTCTGGCCCCTGCTGGGAACACAGTGGTCTAGATGCACCACTGGACTGATCTTGCATGGAAATTCCTATGTTTCTCTTCAAAGTTGTAGTTTCTTAGTATATAATTAATCGTAATACCTCTATGAATGTCCTTTGAGAGTCTCCATTTGAAACAACAGCTTCTGACCTTTTTCCCTACAGCAAGACTGCACTGCAAGTCTAGCCTTCCCCAGGCACCATATCACAAATACCACACCCTCTGGTAGCAGTGGCTTGGGGTAGTTCCAGAATTTGTTTCCTAGTGGAACTTAACTCCTGCTCAACAGGTTTTGCCATAGCTGATTCCAGGTCAAGGAGAGAGAAGGACAGGTGGTATGCACAGCTGCATATGTTTTTTCTTGTTCATTTTTAGCCCCTCTGCTTTTCACATCCCTCCATGCTAAGCAGAATCAAAGCAATTTCAGATTTTCTAGTAATCAGGCAAATTTGGTGTCTTTCTATCTAAATTTGCTAACTTTTACAGTGATAGTAAAGGCTTAGAACCACAATGCACAATACCCAATTGGTAAAACTGTTGCTCAGAAACCATCTCATAACTCTTACTTTACACTTAAACCCCCTACCTCAAACCTCTAAATTTAAAATATGTTGCCATGGGGGGAATAGGCCCAGGTATTTATTTCCCTGTCCAGCTGAGAACTTGAGGATACTCTGGTTGCTTTTGTGCAGGTTAACCAAGGAGGTGCAAGAAGACTGACAGAGTTAATAGGAACTAGAAAAGGTTAAACTGAGCTGGCATACAGTAGACAACATCTGACTGTTAAAGATGTGTGCTTGTAAACAGAACTTTAAAGAGACACTAATTTAATAATTTGTTATTGCAAAAAAAAATGCTTTACATACTTTAATTTCTCAAGAGGAGTCCAACAAAGAAACGGTAATATCTCCTAGATCTTCATGCTTTCCATGAAGATTGTCATATGAGAATTTATATTAAAGGATATTTATATTAAAAGATATTCCAGATATCCTTCAAAAACTAAACTTCCCATTTTCCACTGTGCACAACTAGGCCCTCATCTTGAGGCTTAACACAGAATATGAGATGTAGTCATCACACTGTTTATCCCTGTATATGATTATATTTTGGGTCCTGTTAGAGGAAGTGTTTTAATTACTGTTTGAAGCTTTCTATTTCCCTCTTCCTCTAGATGACTTGCTCAGACCACTGCCTACAGAAGTACTTAAAAATGACACAAAGGATCTCCATGAGATTCCAGGAGTACCACATCCAGCAGAATGAAGCTCTGGCAGCTAAAGCAGGACTGCTTAGTGCACCTCGTTAGATAAGGGCGCTCTGTTCAGACTTTACAAGCAGTGTCAGTGTTTGTTGGGCAAGAACACATTTTGGATTTTCTACTGTCGGGATGTGTGTCCAGCAACTCACAGTTTTAGGTGCTGTTCAGACAGTAGAAACTATGAAAGGTTAAACAAGAAATTAGTCATGGTGGACTGGCAATGGAGGCTGTTTCTGAGGTTCTTTTCACTCTACAATGAAATACTACGGACAGAAACTTCTCCAGGGCCTGCAGACTGATATGTTTAACTTTCAAGGGTGGTGGGAGGGTTATGCTTCCTTTCTGCTAGGACTGATTCAGATAAATAAATGGAATATGGGAAATACACTTTTTTTTATTTAATTAAAATGAATGGGAACTATACATTTGTATGTATGTTCTTTCCAAAGATACGTTTTAAAGACACTGTGCTTAAGCAGTGTTTTGTTGGCTGTGGTCTTGTACCTCAGCTACTACAGAGTTCTGTTTGTTCATTGCTGATTTAAGTTGCTCTTAGATAACAATTAGTTATTTGCTTTTAGCAGCTGGGGATTTGTGAATGTGTAATTTCTCTTAATTTGGGAAGCCATCCTCACAGAGCCTTGTGATCATTCTGACTCTCCTAGAATGGTGATGATGAGAGTATCAAGGCACAGGTGGTTATAAACAGATGGCTGCTGTAACCAATGGGTTCAGGTAGGCAGAGATGCTCCGCCACCTTATCCTGAGGTTATGTTTCATGCTTCACCACGTCATTTACAAGGGATGCGAGTGCATCATTAGCAGTGCTTGTGCCCAAGGCAGCTCCTTGTTTCCCCTGGGGTTCTCCAAATTCAGCTCTTGTCTGGGGCAAGCATGATGCACTCCAAGCAACTAAGCTTGGAGTGCAATTCCAATTTCTCCTTTAATTGTGAGAATGCCAAGATGAAGTACAAGGTATGCACAAAACAATGTTTCTTTTGCTGCTGGGTGAGTACAGAGAGAAGTCTGTGGAAACCACTTGTTCTGATGTGGTTTTGGTTGAAAGGCTTCTGACAGCTGAAATCCTGCAGTCACACTAGCAGTACAGTAGATGATAGCTAACAGGCGCATTTTACTTACAACTAATGAAATACAGCAACAAAAGGAACTGAACATCAGGATTACCATCCTGCCCATATGCTTTTTTGTCATTACCTTCCCTGTAGTTTTTTTATTTCCAGCAGCACTTTGAAATAATGATTTTCTGCCTGTTTTCAGCTGTTTATTTTTTTAGATTGGAGGGTTTTTATCTTTACTACTCCAGCTCTCAGCCCTCCAGGCTGTGGATTACGAGGCCTGACACCAGCACAGTATACATGCTGCTTGCACTGGATGCTGTTCTGTTTGCTGCTGTTTAAAGCTGCCACAACACTCCACAGAAATCTGTTTATGTGTCTTTTTTCAAAGGTGGAAGAAACAAGTATGTTCCTGCAGTCTCATTTACATGTGTTTTCTACTAGCCATATTGCAGCTTTTTCCTGCATAGCCCATGCCTTGTTACCTCAGAGATGGCTAAGAGCTTACTCTAAAATAGTAAAGGCTAAAAAAGAGCCCCAGTAAAGCAGAAAGTCTCTGATGTTGTGTTCTCAAAAGAATAACATGTTAATAATGTCTAGACTGCTTGCTAACATTGTTATGACCACCACTGTTATGGTGAATTACAAACAATATATCCATAGTAAAGATTTAAGGCTTTCTTTAAAGCAGTCTTTTTGCTAAACTTTGGAAAGTAATATATGATTGGAATTATTTTCTGTTGTACTTCAGAGTGCAAAGAGAACAGTTGCTCAGAAAACCCCTCTCTACAACTACCTGAAAAATGGAGCCAGGAGGTAGCTGATCTCTTTTCCCAAGCAACAAGTGACAGAATGGGGTAACACCTTAAGCTGTGCCAGGGGAGGTTTAGGTTGGCTATTAGGAAAGATTTCTTTATGGAGAGGGTGGTCAGGCATTGGAACAGGCTGTCCAGGGCAGTGGTGGAATCGCCATCCCCAGAAGTGTTCAAAAACTCTGTAGATGAGGCCCTCAGTGACATGGTTTAGTGGTGGAGTTGGCAGTCCTTGGGTAATGTTTGGACCTGATGATCTTAAAGGTCTTTTCCAACCTAGTTGATTCTATTCTATTAAAAGTATCACTGGAAGCATAAGCATTGGTTTGACAGCTGCTACCCTGATAAGCTGGCCAGACAAAAATTCTCAACTTCCACAGAAGCAGTGTTCTTATAGCAACTGTAGCTTGCTTACAGATGTGTCTGTAATCAGAGTGGAAAACAAGTTGCAATATTGCTGTGCAGAGATGCATGCTTTTTAGGATAACCATTTTTGTCCTAGTCTAATTGACTCAGATCAGAGCATCCCGACATGTAGGAAGTCAAGGAAGAGGGCCAGGAGACCTGCGTGGCTAAATAGGGAATTGCTGGGTATGCTCAAGTGGAAGAGGAGAGTTTATAGGTCATGGAAGGAGAGGCTGGCCACTTGGGAGGAATATAAGGCTGCTGCTAGAGGATGTAGGAAGGCAGCTAGGATGACTAAGGCCTCCTTAGAATTAAATCTGGCAAGAGGGGTCAAGGGCAGCAGAAAGAACTTTTTCAAATGCATGGCAGATAAAACTAACACCAGAGGCAATGTAGGCCCGCTGATGAAAAGGATGGGTGCCCTGGTGACAGAAGATATAGAATCATAGAATCATAGAACACAGGTGTAGGACCTTGCACTTGGCATGGTTAAATTTCATGAGGTTGGCATCAGCCCACCTCACAAGCGTGTCAAGGTCGCTCTGGATGGCATTCCTTCCCTCCAGCATATCAACCGAACCACACAGCTTGGTGTCATCAGCAAACTTGCTGAAGGCGCACTCAATCCCACTGTCCATGTCAGTGACAAAGATGTTGAACAAGACTGGTCCCAACACCGATCCCTGAGGGACACCACTCATTACAGGTCTCCAGCCAGACACTGAGCCATTGACCACAACTCTTTGTGTGTGCGGCCCCCCAGCCAGTTCTTTATCCACCGAGTGGTCCATTCATCAAATTGATGTCTCTCCAATTTAGAGACAAGAATGACGTGTGGGACAGTGTCGAACGCTTTACACAAATCCAGGTAGATGACATCAACTGCTCTACCCCTGTCCATCAGTTCTATAGCCCCATCATAAAAGGCGACCAAATTGGTCAGGGAGGATTTGGCCTTAGTGAAGCCATGCTGGCTGTCACCAAGCACCTTGTTGTTTTTCACGTGCCTTAGCATGCTTTCCAGGAGAATCTGCTCCAAGATTTTGCCAGGCACAGAGGTGAGACTGACTGGTCTGTAATTCCCTGGGTCATCCATTTTCCCCTTCTTGAAAATGGGGGTTATATTTCCCTTTTTCCAGTCATACAGAGATGGCAGAGTCACTGAATGCCTTCTTTGTCTCTGCCTACTCTGCTGGAGGCAGTCCTGAAGAGCCCTGTACCTCTGAGACCTTAGATGAAGTCAGGTCAACAGAGCGGTTTGCCTTAGTCAATGAGGAATGGGTTAGAGACCAGTTGAGCAATCTGGACATCCATAAATCCATGGGTCCAGATGGGATGCACCCGCGGGTGCTGAGGGAACTGGCGGGGGTCATTGCTAGACCATTCTCCATCATCTTTACCAAGTCTTGGGAAACGGGAGAGGTGCCTGAGGACTGGAGGAAAGCAAATGTCACTCCGGTCTTCAAAAAGGGCAAGAAGGAGGACCCAGGTAACTACAGACCAGTCAGCCTCACCTCCATCCCTGGGAAAGTGGTGGAGCACCTTATCCTTGGTGCCATCTTAAGGCATATCAAGGATAAGAGGGTTATGAGGGGCAGTCAACATGGCTTCACCAAAGGGAAGTCATGCTTGACCAATCTCATAGCCTTTTATGAGGAAATAACACGGTGGATGGATGGTGGCAGAGCGGTGGATGTGGTCTACCTTGACTTCAGCAAAGCATTTGACACAGTCTCCCATAGCATCCTCACAGCTAAATTGAGGAAGTGTGGTCTGGATGATCAGGTAGTGAGGTGGACTGTGAACTGGCTGAAGGAGAGAAGCCAGAGAGTGTAGTCTATGGGGTGGAGTCTAGTTGGAGGCCTGTATCTAGTGGAGTGCCTCAATGGGCCAGTACTGGCACCAGTATTATTTAATATATTTATCAATGATTTAGATGAGGGAATTGAGTATACCATCAGCAAGTTTGCTGATGACACTAAGCTGGGAGGAGTGGCTGACACGCCAGAAGGCTGTGCTGCCATTCAGTGAGACCTGGACAGGCTGGAGAGTTGGGCAGGGAATAACTTGATGAAATATAACAAGGGAAAGTGTAGAGTCCTGCATCTGGGCAGGAACAACCCCAGGTTCCAGTATAGGTTGGGGAACGACCTGTTAGCAGTGTAGGGGAGAGGGACCTGGGGGTCCTAGTGGATGACAGGATGACCATGAGCCAACACTGTGCCCTTGTGGCCAAGAAGGCCAATGGCATCCTGGGGTGTATTAGAAGGGGGGTGGTTAGTAGGTCAAGAGAGGTCCTCCTTCCCCTCTACTCTGCCCTGGTGAGACCGCATCTGGAATATTGTGTCCAGTTCTGGGCCCCTCAGTTCAAGAAGGACAGGGACCTGCTGGAGAGAGTCCAGCGCAGGGCAACTAAGATGATTAAGGGAGTGGAGCATCTCCCTTATGAGGAAAGACTGAGGGAGCTGGGTCTCTATAGTTTGGAGGAGACTGAGGGGTGACCTTATTAGTGTATATAAATATATAAAGGGGGAGTGTCACGAGGATGGAGCCAGGCTCTTCTCGGTGGCAAACAATGATAGGACAAGGGGCAATGGGTACAAACTGGAACACAAGAGGTTCCACTTAAACTTGAGAAGAAACTTCTTCTCAGTGAGGGTGACAGAACACTGGAACAGGCTGCCCAGGGAGGTTGTGGAGTCTCCTTCTCTGGAGACATTCAAAACCCGCCTGTGCACATTCCTGTGTAACCTTATCTAGGTGTTCCTGCTCCGGCAGAGGGATTGGACTAGATGATCTTTTGAGGTCCCTTCCAATCTCTAGCATACTGTGATACTCCCAAAATACTGTGATCTTTCCATACCTTTCAATCCATGTGACTGTTTGAAGAAAGATGATACAAATATACTCTTAGGTTGGAAACAGAGCGCATCCACGTAACTAAAGCATCCATGTGACCCAGAAAGCAGCAGTGGAAACTTTCTTAAAGGTTTCTGAAAGGTTAAATTGCTTTGCTGAAGTTTGACTGCCTGTTGCTTCCTTGATGAGTCAGCACATCCTGATAGCAGGCTCAGATCATGTTATTTAGAAAACTGCACCACATAAGATTTTAAGAGAATCTGTGAGTTGAGAATGGTTCATGACAGTGTTTCAGTGCCTTTCAAGTGTTTTGTCAGCATGTATTCTCACAGCATTGCAGCTGGTCATTCCTCCTTGGAGCAAGATCACCCATCGCCCAATTCTCACAAATATTTAACTGCAAATGCAAGAATTAGTATTTCTACAGCACCTGGATGGACATCTGTGAGGCTGGGACAGTCATGTGAAGGCTGGGACAGCTGTATGAAGGCTGTAAGTGTCTATGAAGGCTGTAAGTGTCTACAAAAGCAGGCCAGGCTATGTGTTTTCTGCCCTAGAAGAGTATTCTGACCTCCATGACAGCTTAATCTGGAGTGTTCTCCATCCTTATCGTTGAACAGCTTCAAGTTTGCAAGGCATAATGAAATATACAGCCAAAATCAGAATAAAAATGAGGATACAGCTTAGTCTCTGGATACGGTATTTATGAGGAGGAGTGTGGAGAGTGGGTGAATCACCTTGATGGGACATGTTAGGTTAGGGGCAGGAATGGAACCAATTCTGATTGAAAGAGCAGCAAAGGATGAAAACTGGAGTGCTGCTGAGGAAGGAGTACTAAGAAAGCTGTGAAAAAATAAGAGTGGAGGTGGGAGGGCAGAGAAGGCAACAGGAGCACAACCTCTGAAAACTAGCTTGATGGAAGGTGAGCTAGTGAGCAAATGTTCATGTGGAGGTGATGTTCATTGCAGCAGACACAGGAACACAGACCCTTCCTTCTGAAATGTCTGAATGAGAAGGCTAGGAAAGTATGCAATTGCTAATCAGCCCACACAAAATAAAATTATTTCAACAACAAGGGTCAAATGAGAGGCTTGCTCCAGAATGCCCTGTACATCAGTGGTACTGGTAGAATAATAGAATCAAACATCTGGAAAATTTTAATAGAGGTTCCTTGAATTCTCTCAAGGACCAGGAGCAAAGTCCTAATTTCTGTAACCTGCTGTTGAGCTTCAACTACCAAGCTCTGTTGGAAGGCAAACAAAGTATTTGACTACAATCTTCTGTAAGGGAGGTGTGGGTTAAACACCTAATGCCCAGAGATAAATCATGGCTATGACTTCAGTGCAAGGCAGCTTTCCTCTGCTCTCTTAAATACCTAACTCTGAGAACCAGAGTCTAAGCAACAGCTGTTTCTCTTAGCCAGGCTAGGAAATCAGCACACAGCATTTGTGGGATCCTGTTCTAATCTTGGGAAGTTCATTAAGCTCAGCTCCAACATTTCTTCAATGACTCTGGCCCAAACTCTAAAACCTGCAGAAACACTGAGAGCTTGTGACACCTAAATATGCATCCTACTTGCAACCTGAGTTTGAAGACGACAGCATTAAATGAACTTTAAATAAAGTTACAACTCTTCTAAATACTAGATTACTATGTTGTTTGGGGTTTGCTTTGTTATTTTTGTTTTACCTTAACTTGATGCTTCAGCGTTTTGGTGCTCTTTCTGTAAACACAACAGGGATTGTTCAACATTCAAGCTTTAGCAGTTCAGGACTGTAGAATGATGACTGTGAAATACGAACTCACTCCTCTAAACAAGATAACAAGGTTTTATTGAGGGACAAAGTCAACAAGGCAAAAGCAACAGCGCTGGGAGCATGACCGTAGCCAGAGGCACAAGTGATTAGCATTTGTTACAGGTTTATATACTTTCACTATTACATTAGTTATATGCATACTCATAATTCCCTCATATGGGCAGGGAATATAATAACTAACTCCCGGAACTTACTATCGTAAGTCCCCTCCTCTTGGTGTCTGCGCACTGCTCTCTGGTGATTGTGGGCAGGGGTCTTGAGGATGAAGTAAGCAGTCTTCCTCTTGTGAGTAGGGGTCTTCAAGATGGAGTAAGCAGTCTTCCTCACAGTGTACTTTTCACCTTTGGCACAGTTGGACGCCCCAGAAATCACACAACTAGCTGAAACCAGCTGTATCTGTAATTCTTCTGATAACTAGCAAAGATTTAAAACAGTGTAACCTTCCTGCAAAATTTATTGCAGGATGGGCAGACAAGGAGTATCCCAAGCCAGCAGATGTTTGGGAGGCTCTGTCTCTAACTGATAAATAGAAGGATGGTGTGAAATAACTCATTCATGTTTAATGGGGCCACTAAATCCCGTTATCTCACCACAGACTTACAATGCAAATACTGTTCTTTAAAACTAAAGATACTTTAAAAGAGTAGTGTGAAACAATTAACTCATGTTTAGTGCAGCCACTACATTCTACAGTCTTACAACATAAACACTGTTCTCTTTCTACAACCTAAGTTAAGCTAAAAAGTACTTTAACTCTTCTGTTTTTCAGGCACTAGCTTTTCTTATATCACACCCCCTCCTTCTTTTACCTTTACAAATTCTTTTGCTATGCGACTTCGTTTTGCTCAAGAGTTCTGGCCCTTTTTAACTTGTTGTCTAATCTTGTGTATTTAGCGAGCTTTGTTTCTGTTACTGTAAACTGGTACAGTTATATCCACATAACCACACCTCTGATTTATGTTTATCACAATGACCAAGTCTGTTCTCCCAGGACTTCTCACGTACCCAAACAGATGTAGCTGAAAGACTCTAAATCTTTAAAAAAAAAAAAAAACAAACAGAAAGAAAGGTTACACTTACACACTACTTGAATGGTCCATGACTCGTCCTGTGCAGCAAGGCATGCTCTAATCACCTTATCGGTAGGAAAGGGGGTTGTTGGCAGCTCCTGCTGCCGCGTCTGTGCTGTGGAGCCTGCTTAGATCTTGAGGACAAAGTGCCTCTGCGCCACGGGAGACACGGGTCTCCTGGGGACGGCGGCGGGGCCTGAGGAGAAGAACTACGGGACTTCGGTCCTGCACCTCCTCCCGCGGGGATTCCGCCCGCCGGGCACCCTTTCCCCTCTGAGGGGAGTGCGGTGCCTTGGGCTGGGCTGGGCTGGCCGCAGCGCGATGGCGGAGGGTTCTTCCCCCCGCCTCAGGGCCGGGTGGCCGCTGCCTCCTTTGAACTGCCGCGCCTTGAAACGCGACCTGAGCAGGGCCCACAGCGGCGGCGAGGCCTGGGGTAACTCGCACCTCAGCCGTGAGCGGAGCGTCCTGCAGCCAGTGTGTGCGGAGGAAAGAAACAAAACGAACCCCACAGGTTCCTTACAGCGTTCTATTGCCTTCGGGGCATGCAGGAAGATGTCTCAGAGGGGAGCGAAGGGCTGCGGCTGGCGGCAGGTGAGAAAGGTGACTGGGTGGCTGCCATGGCCGGTGGGGGACCGCCTGCCTGTGGGAAGGCGGCAGAGCTGGAGCCTCCGACGTGACAAAGCCTTAAACAGAAATCGAGAGAGAGAGATGGAAAGCATGTCAAAACCGACAGTGCTAAGAGACACAGCGCAGTGCAGGCAATTGGGGACTGGACTGCAAAAAGGGAAACACCATTGGGAAGCTGCTGGGATGGCACAGGATCACCACACAGGGTGGGAAGCAGAGAGTAAGCAGGAGAAATTAAGGGGTTGGGGTTTTTCCTTCTTTTCCTTTTTAAATTACTGTAAACCTTACCCATTCCTGAGAGAAGTAATTTTCAGGAAATCAGTGAGCATCAAGAGACAGCTTTAAGCTCCGTATACATGTGAACAAGTGGCTTGTTTACAATCCAGTCCACCCTTGTGCAATAAAACAAAGTCTTTCATACAAATTCCACATCTTACCTCTCCTTATGAAACACATAGCTGGCAGGATCATGGCAAATTAGGTCAGACTGTACCCAGATGAGGGATTAGTGGAGGAGTAGTTTAGAAATAGCTGAAGACACTGACAGGTCTGAAATGGAAAATGTTGTTTGGTTATTCTGCAGAGCAGGGAAAGGGAGAGGCTTTGCCAGCAGTACATAACCTCGTCCCTCACCAGCAAGGCTCAGAGTGAGAGTTAAGCGAACACTACTGATAAACAACCTGCCGGTTTTCACAGCTGTCATGGAGCTCTAGTGCTGATTTTCTTTGCTGTTAAGCAATGAAACACAGAGGAGGTGAGCCTTGCAATACTTCTGTGGTTCTTTTCATCACACGTGAGCTGTACTAGTGAATTAAATGTGTCATAAAGAGACGCTTTTTCACTTTTGAAAACTATTGGTGTAGCATAAGCAACAGCATAAGGATACTAATATAAATAGCAGGTAGTTGCAGACCTGAAGCAGAACCAGCCAGCACAGCCCTGTTCTGAAACAGAAAGTAGGATTTCTCTGAAAATGGGAAGGAGGAATAGTAACATAAATGGTGCTGAGGTAATTCAAAACAAAGAGGAACCCAGGAAAGTCCTATTCTCAGAAAGGCTGAGAAACGGCTGCTTTCACAGTTAAGATTGTCATTTCAGTTTTCTTAAAATGGCAGTGCGGTGAGTATTTGACATTGGGTTGCAACTAATCACAAAACCCACCATGCAACTGCATTGAAACAAGCACATATTCAGACCAGTAACACTGTAGCATGAGAAACTGAATTTATATATATTCCTCCAAAGCAGTGCATGAGACTAAAATCTGCTCGTGGAATCGGGGGAGCTCACAAATTTCCAAAACAAGTAAAAAACCCAGGTGAATACTTCTAAACTCTCCCAGGAATCTCTAAAAAAAAAAAAAAAATCATCATTCTATTTGGTGGAAGATAATTTGGTAGAATAACAGATTTTTCTCAAAATTTGCAGGTAATAGCTTGATAAAAAGTGTGAGTTAATTATAAAATATCTTTTTCCTAAGCCCTGGAATTACAGTGAGTCAGGCTCTGTCAACATCCCCACTGGTTCCACTGCTTTATTATGTGCCTTACATCCCCAGAGGTAGTCTTTATCGTGCACACTGTAGCAAACAATAAAACCCCAAGTACAGACAAGTGAAAATAGCCAATATTTTAATGCACAAGATGCAAGGGCATGGTGAGGTAAAAAGCTGAAGATACTTTTGTTAACTGATTCTTCTTTTGTTTTGGCTTATAAATCGGTCTTCCGGCTCATTTGTCAGATTTATTTCAAGGAATCAAACCAAACATGCTCTTAAAAAAGAAAACAGCACTAAGTCTAAGCATTACTGTTGTTAAAGAATTCCAGTAAATGCTGTCCAGAAATGCCATTTGGCTGCCGCAGCTGTCCAAAAATATTTTTAATGGGGGAAAGAGGAACCTTTTATAAGAATATTCATTTTTTAAAAAAATGTGGCATTCCATCTGGTCAACAAACCAATCCAGAGAGAGAAGGCTCTCGAGTGAACAGTCTGACTGAGACCTGGGAATTGACAGTCCTTAGATTCAGATTCTTTTTCCAGCTCCCCATCAAAGCCATCCTGGGTAATTTTGGTAGCCATTACTATGTGGCTCCCTACCCTTCAAATGCGAATATGCATCCATGTCAGAAATTTCTACCTAGTTTATTCTAATACTGCACTTTTAAAAACCATTGGGTTAATGCAGAACTTAACAAAGAGTGAAGAAGTGATTTAATCCCCTTTTTTACTGCTGTCCTTCAAATTAAAGTTCTCTGCCACTCCCTGTGAAGGTCAGATACATTATGCTTCATGAAGAAACACACTTATTTTCCCTTGTTACAAATTTCTTTCACTGGCAATTACTACTGTAAATCTGTTTAACCTCTGTTGAAATAATGGCTTGTTGTTACTGTTCTGACATTCTCCTGCCAGATCTGTTCAAACTGGTAGTAAGAGGTTTCTCATCTGATAGAGCAGTCAGAAACAAGTGGAGATTCAACTGGGTGTACACATTAGAGAAGAAACTCATTAGTATACATGTAGCTGGTACACTTTATGGAAAGGAAAAACTAAAACAAGTAGGGAAATTAGCTTTTTCTTACCTTATATCCTTGCATTGCCAATGTTTCAAGCTTTTTCCAATTTTCAGGTATATGCTAATTAAAAAGTAGTAAATCTGGCAGAAATCTGATCGTCTCCATTGCAGGAGGCAGGGAGAGTCAGAATTCTCTTGCAGCCCTCTTCTTTTTAAGTTTCAACAGCATTTGATCCCATAACCTTACATTTTGTCTTCCTTCTAAACTTGAAATATTATTTTGAGAAAAACTGTAAAAGATAGAAGGCAGGATAATAGCATGAAGACTGCCAAGAGGATGCTTTATTTTTGCTTGCTCTTGCAAGCATGATACCTAATCTGTTATTACAAAAAAGAATCCCAATTCAGTATAATTATAATTACTGTGTCTTTAACAGCATTAACTTCCATTCAAGGCACTGGAAGACACTTTGGAATTTATGTCAGCAAAGCAGAAATAAGGGGATTACAGTAAAGTTATAAATAAAAGACCTGATTAGGGTTTCCTGTCAATTTCACTTTCCATAAGAATAGTTAATCTTCCTTTCTCTACAGTACTTTTACATGTCATAAGAAACTACTTCAAACATCTGCTGAATAATCTGGCTAACTGATACAGAAAGATAAAACTAGGAAATCAGTAACATGCTGGAGGCTTTGCCAGTGGCTTGGCAGAAAGTCCACCTTTCCTTGCATGTTTAGTGTTCTGCCAGAACAGTAAGGTTAGATGTTACTGGGGTGGGGTGCAGGGAGTGTGGGTGTCAATCTATCCATCTGTCTGTGAGTAAGCAGGTGGAAAGAGAAGTGAGGAAGAGAGTTCTCTATGTCCAGGAGTAACTGTCTGCTAGAATGGTTTCCATGTTTGATGGAACCATACCATCAGCCTTCCATGCAGTAGTTTAAACATTCCTGAGGGGCACGGAGAAGCAGTCAGCATACACATCTGTGCTGAAGTACAGATGGTCAAGAGTGCATCCACCACCTGTGCATGCTGAGCAAAGTGGATGTGCCTCTAAAATCTCACTCAGTTTGCAGACAGAGGTTAGATATAATTAATCCTGTTACTTCACTGAATTTAAAATTGACTTCTGCAACTGTTAAACATGGAGGATAATCTGAGAAAATGTGACCCATGTTATTTCCTTTCAAATGTGCATTGTTTTTTTATTCATACCTGTTATAAGATTAACATTAAAAGTTACCTCTGAAAAAAAGTCTTTACAACAGTTTGTGGAGATTAATTTTCCTATTTAGGTAAGTCCAGACATTTACAAGAACAATCACTTAAATAAAAATAGAATATAAAGCCTATGTTTAAAACATGGCCTTTATTAATGCTGTCTAGAGAGCTCCATATTTATCTTACATTGAAATAGTTCTGCTTTGCTTAAGAAAAGACAGAAAAAGTGCATTTACAAGAGTACTTTTTCTTTAATTTTCTGCAAAAATGGAAGAAATTGGAATCACAAGTTGACAAATGTTGTAAAATGAGATTTCAAGAAACATCAACTTTAGTAATGCTATGCCATCACTAGTGTTTCGTTCTGACCTTCTGCCATGTGAACCAGAATATCCCGATATACAGTCTAGAGCATCTATGTTATTACTCTACAGTATATTTAACACAGAAAAAGGGGTTAAGAACCCCTTTCAATGTACAAACATGAATAAAAAAATTGATAAAAAAATCACTTTTATACATAATGTATATGCAAACTGTTTTAAATACATGGGTTTGGAAGAGTTATTTACAAACTTTCTGTCCGTGGGACAATCCACAGACAAAGCATACACAGTTGCTTTACTTTATTGTTGCATCTCGACTTTGGGAGATGCAAATCCATTCGGCAGTACAGCAAACATAAGAACTTGTGACAAAGTATCTTAAGGGCAACCCAATAAATTTTGTTCCTCAAAACAACATAAGTACTAGGACTGCCAAAGTTTCCAAATAAAGTCATAGTTTTACCCAGATGCCTGCAGACAGACCTATGTTGTGGATGCTACATCAACAGACCCATTTGAAATACAGGCATGGCTACTGGATAAAACATCCTTAACAGCTGTAACTGATACATATGTTTTATCGAATGAGTGAAGTGACCTAGAATTTTTTTTTTCTAATTTTATTAATATTTTAAAAAATACATAAAAATACAACATCCAATGTCTGAATAAATATATTTAACAAGTTGCAAGATACCTTATTTTACACAAAAATTTCAGCTTTAGAAATCTTGTTAAATAACTTCACTGTTGTTATATATTTCATTTTTCGTCTTTTTGTAACAAAATAAAAACTCTGAAATTACATAGAAAAAAGACAAAATATTTTTGTCAAGGGATAAGATAGTCCACTGAAAACCTATTCACAATTCCACTGTAAACATTAATAAACATTAAAATATTTGCATAATTGTGTGCTCAAAAATCCTATAAAAAGTGGAAGACTTATTACAACTGTAGTTTTCAGTCAACTACACTTCCTTTCACAATTTATTTTGTCCCATTTACACCTTTAAAACTGGGCACATTGCTGAACACGTACTTTGGCAGTTCTGCATAGCAAGTGCTTCCACAAAAAGGAACTACTCACCAAGAGTTAATGTACAGCTCGGCGAAAGTGCAGCAGTTACTCAATTCTTTTTGATAATACTCTCATGTCTGCTTGGTGCACTTGCTTTTCTAAGAGCTCCCTAGAACACCTGAATGCTTCATTGGATATAACTTTTCAAATTTGATAAGTGCCCTTTCTCTGCATTAATAAAAACAAAACAAAACCAAACACAATGACAAGCATGTCACATTGTGCCTACAAACCTTCAATTACCAATGAGCTTAATTTCTCTGAACAGTAAATTAAACAAAAGAAGGGAGTAGGAGGGAAGAACAGGTACAGTCCCAGCAGTGGAAGTGTGTACAGAATATACTTGGCAATGTCAAAGCAGTTGAGTGCTTTCTGTGGTTGTATTTCAGGATACATGTCCATGGCAGCAAGATGCTGGCAAGGCAGAGAAACGTGCATCACCTGCATTCTACAGCAAGCACGTTCTGTGGAGGAGAAGATGATGATGGACTCATTCCAGTGTCTGATGAAGCAGATGACATGGATGCTCCTGTATGTGACACTGAATATACAGAACAACAGATCAGCATCAGGTTATCAAAGTACAGATCAGAATGAAGGTTTCTTTGCTTATCAGGTTGTTTAAGAGATCTCAAAGTAGTAGCATGATCACAGGAAACTGATACAGATTTTTTGTCAAGCGCTTTCATTGCTATATTCACATAAACTGGATGAGTAACCGTACCCTTGCTGCATCACCAGCCAACTGAAAAGATAAATCAGATGAGTCATTACACAGATTGAAAACTCAGACCTAGCTTGCACTAGGATATCCAAGTTTCTAATACACTGTTATAAAATAATCAGGGAATGCTCGTTAGGTTCAAGTTCTGAAGAGCCATAAATATTTTCTAAACATATATGCACACAGATGATAACTTTTTTTCCCCATAAGATACTCCCATTTAAACTCAAGTTGCAAGAGAATAAACTTCTCATGGGAATCATAAAGCAAATCTGAAAGTTACCTTCTCTGTCCTTCTTTTTTAATCGTTTTCTTCTCCTGTCTATGGTTGCTACTTCTGACTTCAAGGACATGTAGTATTTTCGTATTTCCTGTAGTTTTTCTTGTAAGAAGGAGATCCTTTCAGTGCTGCTCATATTGTCTAGTTCATCTTAAAAATGGGAAGAAAAAACAGCTTCATCAAAGTGATTTTACACAAATAATAAGATCCTGATAGCAGACCTTGTAGCAGCCTTCCAGTGCTTAAAGGGGCTGAGAAGAAACCAGGAAAGGGACTTTTTGTGAGCAGGTAGTGATAGGACAAGGTGGAATAGCTTTAAACTGAGAGAGGGGGAAATACAGATTAGATGTAAGGAAGAAGTTCTTTACCATGACAGTGGTGAGATAATGGAACAGGTTGCCCAGGGAAGCTGTGGCTGCCCCATCCCTGGCAGTGTTCAAAGCCAGGTTGGAAGGGGCTTTAAACGACCATGTCTATTGAAAGGTGTCCTTGCCTTTGGCGGGAGGGTTGGATCTAGATGGTCTTTAAGGGCCCTTCCAACCCAACCTATTCTAGGATTCTATGATGAATCTTAATTATCTACAAAATGCAGCGTAAAATTTAACATACTTCCATAACCAGGCCATAAAAGACCTGTACCTAATTTGGAGCCCCACACTTTAATTTCAGAACAAATTTTCCTATAAATTCCCTCTAATCAAGTCACTTAAAGAATTCTTACTGAGCTGGAAACTCCATTTGTATACTCTAGATGAAGCATTCTGGTGGTGGTGTTTTTCTCTGTGTTTATCCTTCTCTCCGTCTTTGATGTGAGGCGAAATGACTCTTGCAGGTGATCGGGAAATCTTCTGTGGTTTGGATGCATTTATGTGTTTTACAGGAGTACATTTACTTGAACTGTCTAGGACAGAAAGATCTTCACTGTCACTACTTTGTCCTGCAGTAAGAGAAATGTACTTGGATTTAAAAGAACCCTTACAAACAACTTAGCATTTTAGAACTGTAGTTATAGTCACAAAAAATGATTAAGAAAAAAACTGCTCCTTCTGGCTTAGGAGATCCCAGAATGCACAGAAGGAAAAACCATATGAGATTGAATGTATAACCTTGTAAGACACAAAAGGCACTGAACTCTCAAGTGCACCAATCCTTAATGCAGGAGAAAGCAAGGGCTGACCAGGCCTTTAGTTAAAGAGCAATAGTCTAAATTTTTACGGAAGTAGAAAAGCAGCTTATTAAAATAAGAATATTAGAGCACTGATAAACTATGTTTAAGTCACCTATTTTGGTGTTATAATACCAGAATCCCCTTTTCAAAGATCAAAATTGTAAGTAGGTAGCCCATGACTATATATGTCTACCAAATTGCTTTGCACAGCTAAATGAACTGTTCTGAAACATGACTAAAAGCATAAATGCTTTAATATGTAACAGAAAATTTTAAGCTAATATATGCAAATATTTTAGACTTCCACAGTAATTTGAAAGTTTTACACAGGCAGGTCAAATATATCTCAGTATTGTATGTCAGAATTCTGATTTCAGTCTGGTACTTAAAAATTGTAACAATACTGCCACAGGGCCTAAATATATTGACTCATTCAATACAGTCATCAGCAGAAATGTGTTACAGAAATGCAAAAATCAAAATTTCTGTAGTAAATTAAAAAAGTCACATAACTGAGATAAACACGCACAAAATTTCTTTTGCTGAGAAGTTATTCTTTAGAATCAAGCATTTTTTCTGTACTTCATAGATGCATTTTTTTCCCCATGAGAAACACCTACTGTAATACTTTGAAGGAGATGTTCCTACTCAGAACAAGATCCCCTCTCACAAATTTGTAACCAACCCAATTATTGCACCCTTTCAGTACTTAAAAGGTGCCTGTAAGAAATACAAAGAGATACTTTTTTAGAGGGCCTCACGTGACAGGACATGGGGTAATGGTTTTAAACTAGAACAGGTGAGATTCAGGATGGATGAGAGTTAAAAATCGTTTAGAATGAAGGTGGTAAAATAGTGGCACCGGCTGCCCAGAGAGGGGGCAGATGTCACCATCCCTGGAGACATTCAAAACCAGGCTGGATGTGAGCTATCTGACCTAGTTGAGGATGTCACTGCTCATTGCAGGGGGGTTGGACTAGATGAACTTTGAAGGTCCCTTCCATCCAATACTATTTGATGATTCTATACAAAAATGATTGTAATGGTAAATACTTAGTAGCTGCTAATATATGTTGTTATTAAAAGCTTCTCCTAAGAAGTAATTAAAAATAACCAAGAGATCTCCAAGGAACACTGCTACTGCAGAGCTGCTAAGATCTATACAGTTAACATCCAATAATCATGCACCTTAATAATATTAATGAATAATCATGAATAATAATTAAAAAACTTGACAAGAAAGTCCCACCCAATAGAAATAATGGGTAACAGTGAGAACAATGTGCCCTTATGCATGTTGATAGGGCAGCATAACCTCCCGCCCTCAAATGTACCTGTTCCATTCTTTTCATTTTTGGCTGCAGCACTTGTTCGCTTTGGGGTACGCTTTTGTTTTTTTGCCAGTGTTCCACTATTGCTATCACTGGGTCTTTTTTGACCTAAATGAGAAAATAAAGGAAGACAAGACACCTCAAATATCTCTGATACTTGCAAACTCTTTTCGTATAAGCAACAAATAAATTTAAAACCAGAAGACAAACAGCCAACTTCTAGTAAAACCAGTCTTAAAATGACTTCAGAAATCATTAGAGCAGAGAATGACTGTTGACAGGAATGCTCACCTTTCTCTCCAATCTCTCTTTCTTGCACAGATAGACTACAGGTGCTTGATGTAGTACTGGCTTCAAATCCATTAGCAGACTCGCTTTCACAGAGACCTTCTTGAGACTCTTCCACCACACTGTCGACTTCAATCGTCATGTCACTTTCGCTCTTGATACTGCGTGATTCATCCTGGCTAAGCGTAAGAGGCGAGATCACTGAAAAGCTTGACTGGATGGCAGCGGGTAAGGCAGACAGATTTGGATTTGAAGCATTAGGACCTGGCTTTTCTGATATGATGTCTTCACTACTGCTTTTCTCCTTTTCATCCAAGTCATCCAAGTCTACTTCATGGCACAGCAGTGTTTCAGGACCAATCTGAGGCATTGCATCATCCTCATCTTTTAAGGGAACATTCTCATTTTCTTCAGAAGGACATTCAGAGATGTCATTTCTCAGCTCTTGAGTGTGCTGAACCGATTCTGCCACCAGCGATGGCATTTCCTCATTTTCCGTTCTGAGGGACTCTTCAGCATTCAGCCCTCTACATTCTTCTGCTCCAGTACATTCATTGGTCCTCTCTTCAGATACAATATTTGGCACTTCCATCTCACTCTGTCGTCGATTTCTCTTTTCAGGTGATGCCTGTTCTAAAGTTTTCCTTTTCAAAAGCTTCTTATCTTTTGTAGAAGGTTCCATTTCACTTTCAGTAGTGCTGGAAATTTCTTTACAGTCCAAAGAAGACATGTCTAATCTTTCAGGTTCTGCAAGAGGTTCATTTGCAACCTCTTCTTGGCTTCCTGGTGAAATCTTGGCATTCTCTAAAGACAGATCTTTTGTCTTGCTCCTTCTCCCTTTACTTTTAGGTGATTTTTCAGCCTCTCTTTTGATTTCTTCTGTTTGCTCTGTTTTATTTCCAAAAGTCTGAACAATTTGTTCACTTTCTTCAACTTCCAGTTTCAGTGTTTCTAGTGGCTGTACTTGAGTCCTGTCATTTTCTTTCAGTGCATGAGGAATCTTTGGGTTTTCTTCATCTAGCTTCTCATCATGTAGCTTTTCACTTTTATCCAATTCTGAAGTTTCTGGAGAAAATTCTTCATTCAGATTCTTTTCAGATGATTCATCTGCTTCACTGTCAGAAGAGCCAGAGTCTACAAATTAAAAAAAGAAGGAAACAGCACCTTAAATCATCAATTACAACACAATTTCCTTTTTCAACCACACAAAAACTTTCTTCCCAGTAATTTGCAACATTAACATCAGTTTAGAATACACAATTTCAAACTTAAAGTCCTGCATAATTCAACACACTTTATTACAGTTCTTAATTTTACTCAAAATTTCTATGAAACTACAATAGTAGCGGTGCTATCTGTGTTCAAGATGCATCTGGATGACACTCTTAGTTTTAGGTAGTCCTGCAAGGAGAGGGAGTTGGACTTGATTATGAGTCCCTTCCAGCTTGAGGTATTTGGTGGTTCTTCTGCTGTTTCCTCCAGATAAGATGGTATGAACAAATTACAGTTTATAGTAGAAAAAACACATTCCTATAATCTGGTATCTAGCTGTGGAAAGCACCTGCCCCACCTGACATTACAAAGCAAAAAACCCAACACTTCTCCCCTCCATGCGCCCCCAAACAGTAAAAAAACAACCCTTCTACACCACAATAGGGACATTTCATTGTTAAACTATTGTACAAATCTATTGTATGCACCATATGCAGAGCAAGCATATTTATGTTACCAGATTATTCAGGGATCTGTGCTGAAAGCAGACAGTAGTTTCACTTCAGTTCTTTTTCACAGAGACTTAGAAATACGAAAACTATTGCTGCCTTTTGTATATAATTAACAACTTAGGGTGCATGATTTGGTACTGGGGTTGAGGACTTAATTACCACAATGAAGACTGTCATTATACTACTAGAGTTGGTCCACTCATGATTAGGACTGAAAGGCTCTGACTAAAGAATATGGAATTACTTGCAAGTCATTTCCATGCCATAGCTCTTCAGTGAGCAAACTGTACTCCTCAGCAGTGTCAGCTCAACTATTTCCTCAATAGAATTCACAGGGAGGAACAAAAAGGTAAAAATCAAACTTCTCTTCAAAAAATTACTGAAAAACCTCAAAAGCCTAAGTGCTCACTGTTTGAGTCTCCACCAGAATCAAACATTCCTGAGCTACGTCTCATCTGCCTGTGAGATGTTGCTAAAAATCAAAAGTATTCATTTCTATAGAGTAAAACCTGTGCCACAATTTTTTTACATTCTATTGCTTGTACACTGGGTAAGTAGGACTTTAAACCTGCTGACAGCACTGTGTTCTCTGAAGTTGCCATATTAATGCACCGCATGACATCACTCTTTACATGCACTTCCATGCCAGAACATGAGTGCACCAGATGTACCTTCTGTTCCATTTGGTAATGGTGAGGAATCTGACAAGTTGTTCCGTGCACTTCTGGCTCCTGATTTACCTTCACTAGTAGGTGTTTTGGATAAACTGCAGGACGTGTTGGATGGAAGAGTAGATTTCAGAGGGGGTCGCCCACGCTTTGATTTTTGTTTCTCCTCATCCTTCTTCTCATCCTTCTCACTGTCTTCTTTATTCTGAGGGGAAAACGAATGTTTTTTAACGTTTCACTGCTGATCTTCAAAACCTTTTGCTCTACACTTCTATTAAAAAAGTAATTTGTGGACTGAGTAACTTTTTTGAAAAATAAGTAATTGTGATAGTCATTAAGTATTGTACTACAAAAAATATTACTGAAATAACTATTACTTTTGTTTTTTTCTTCTGTTTTCTCTTTGGTCCTCCTTTGTCCACAGGCCAGATAATCCGATCAGCTTTCACCCATTCATCGTATCTAAAAGTGAGTAACAACATTCTGTTATCACTAAATAATAAAAATTTGTTTGCAATATGGGGATTAAAAAGACTGAGTTACAGAAAATATTTATTAAAGAGAGCTAGGAAAGTAGAGCATGTATTTACAAACACACATAGTACCTGGCATTACAAAGATGAATTACGTTTCTAGCCCACAAGAGATGCAAACTTCCCTGTCTCTTGCTAGCAAAGCAGTGGAACCCAGGGGACTGCGTCAGCTGTAGTTTTGTCAATTATTTCACATCATATACAAAAAGCAGTTTTCACCACAATAGTAAAATGTCGTTTTGGTTTTGTGGGTTTTTTTTATTATTTTTATCTTTTTAAGGTAAAATTTTTAAATTATAGCAGCAAACTGCATGAGATTCTGAAAAGCACAAATACACCGCTAGTTCTCCTTAGAATCTCCTGAGTTATTAAAAAGGTAAAGGGACACATGTAAGTATATCCGCACACACATAAACTTTGTGTTGCCACATAAAGAAATTTGCTTAGTTTAACTAGAAATGTATGGATTTGGAACATCTCAAGTTATATACCAGAAGCGTTCTAGTTTCAAAAATTCAATTTTGCGATATTTTTGTCTACATACTAAACAATGCTCTTAACAAGAGCAAAAAAGCCATTTCTGCAGCAGTACTGAATATAAAGCATGGCTGGCAAGAGAAGCATTTTAAGATTCTGTAGCTCTTTGTAACAACCATTCTTTATAACCACAGTTAACATTCAATACAAGGTTAAATTGTGTTGCCAAAATTTCAGTGCTTGATACACTTAATTGTAGAGGTCTTTGCCATCATCAATGACTCCCTTAAATAAAGTCCCAAAGAGCTAACAGTAGCTGACACAGTAAATTACAGGGATGCTCCTGTGAGAAGTGACGATTACTCACTTCAAGCCAGATGAAAACTTTGAAATCTCAGAATATACTTCCTTATACATTTCCATGTTGTAGTGTCATACCATGAACAAAATTACTAACACTGAAATGTGTAATACGGTCAGATCCTGTTACTGTGTTGATAGTTCCATTCAGAGCCAAGTCACTGACCATCTTTCTCTTTTTGTTGTTAGAACAAAAATTCTTTTGTAAATAATCCATTTAACAAAGAAAGAAATGAAAGGCAATTGTTATCCTCACCTTACATTCCAACCATAGTAGTGAACTAAATATAAAACTTCTCCATCATCAATTTCTGTGCTTTTAATACTGGCTTCATAGATTTTTTGAGTCTTTCCACGTCCATATTTTACTTTCACTTTGGTTCCAGTCAGGCAGGGTTCTGCATCCTCCTCATCCTCTTCACATTCTGATTCTCCTTTGTTCTCAATTTCCTCCCTGCAGTAAAGTGTATTTAAAATGCCCACTAATTAGAGACAATGTTTCAACATTTAACTAGCTTAGCCAAGCTACTACAGAAGAAAAAGTCTGCAAAAAAAATGTTTTCATCTTCTCTGTCCTACAGTGCCTCTGAAGCTAGCTTGGACACAGCTTCTCACATCAAGAAGAGGACTCTGAGAAAACAGGAGTAAGTGCCAAAAATATCCAGAAAAAAATATAATATAAACACAATTTATTATGTGTACAACTACCTGAGAACTTAAAAAGTATTTTTAAGTGAGTATTTTGATAATGCAGAAAGAGGAGTAAGTTAACTCAGTGTCTGACTCCTAAGTAAGACAGGAAGAGCTGATTTTGGCATGTTGTTTAAAAAGAAAAATTATCTCTCCTACAGTTTGCTTAACAGGCTACAGTTTACTAACAGTGTGCATAAGCTTGAATCGCCATCATAGTGATCCCCTCACAGATGCAAACACCATTCCAATGAGAAAAGTTGATTATAACAGTGTTTAACAAAGATTAAAAGTGTCTACACACCTCTTATTAGCTACGTCTACCTGTTATTATAACTGTATCTGATATTTAAACATTCTACCTAAACATACTTTCAAGAATCACAATCTATGCTATTTTTACCTATACTTCTCTCCTTTTTTTAGGGTGAATTTAGCATAAGGTAAACCTTAAACTATAAAATGTCACCAAAAAAGAAAATAGTGAAAAAGACTATAGGTTTTCTTTTGATCAAATATATTCATTATATTTGAATTATATATATATATATAATATAATGATCAAGTATATTCATTAGCCTTCAACAGCAACTATTTTGCTGTGGCAAACAATTAAAGAGGACAAGCACCATCCACACCGCTTAAAGAAAAAAACTCTTTGGTGACCATGTCACCTGATATCCACCCCCCCGTGACCTCCCGCACACCAAACACTGCACCTTCATTTGAGGCATTTCCACATGCTACGGGGCACTGCAAGATTATCTTTTTTGGACTACACAGAGACACTTTCTTTAAAATAACCATGTGTTTTTCCTACTCCTCAAAGCTCTTCAGAAGCAAACATACAATACCCCTATCAGGCTTCATTCAGCATTAACTTGTGTCCAAACCACTTAACCACAAGGACAAGAAAAACAAGGTAGGAAAACCAGTTTAAGCTGGTAAGACACTGCCCTTGACCACAGTCAAAGTTAGCTAAGAGGTCTACTCTGGTAATGAATTACCTGGTCACTCATTTGTAACCGTGGCTATATACCCAGTTCAACTCGTCAAGCTTAGTCTGTAGATGCTATTTTTCTTTTGCCCTTCCACATCTCTCCATTCTCCTCTTCACCCTACCTGTGTGTTTCACACAAACTCCCTCTTCCCTTTTCCTTTCTTTATCAGCTGATCCCCTGCTTGCCTGCCTACAATACATCAAGTAACAAAAACAAGCACCCTATAGGTTCACCAGCCATCATTAAACACTTTAACAAATGCATGGGAGAAGAGGGTCTTTCTTTTCCATTTGCATTTCAACTGCCCAGACAAGTCTGCCCAAGCAGTTGCTCACCATCCATACAGCACCTGACAGACACAGCCTGGTCTACTCTGCATCTGTACATACAACTGTGACAAAACACTAACACATCCTTGGCAAGACCTTCAAGAAAATGAAAGTCTGCTACCTACCAGAAAAAGATGCTTCCGTAAAGTACAACACGTTTACAAGCTTGAAATAAAATTTTCCCTTTCCTATCTGGCTGCTGAGTGAATAGGTCCCCAGTTTCCACATTTTAGTTGTGTATACTCCTGCTTCAGGTGTGGCTCAATCACAACAGACATACGCATAAGAAGGTGACACAAGTTAATGTTTACCTCTCCCTCTGCCTCTCTTCCTCTTCATCTGACTCTTTGTCAGAATCCTCCTGTTTTTTAATTTTTTTCTCTTTTTGCTTTGGTGTACTTTTTCTCCCTAGTGGAGTTTCATTTTCTTTCTTCTCTGCATTCTCAGGGATTTCCTCTATATCTTTATTTTCCTTGTTACTGTCTTTTAATTTGTCTTGTGTTTTATCCTCTTCACTATCTTTTTTAGCTGGGGTTGCATCACGGGTAAGTCTTCTTCGTCCCTAGAACAGAAATAAGAACAGTTTAATCACTCTTGTCAACTGTTCTCTGTATAGTCCAAACCACAGTGAAGAGGGAAATAATATTCCTGTAGGGAAGAAAAGATGGAGATACCAGCAAAAAGCAAAATACTCTAAAATCTTAAGATAACAGCTTGAAGTCTTGTTATTTGGGGGGGAGGGAACAATAAAAAAAAACAAACCACAACAAATCAAACAAAAAACAAACCCAAACAACAAAACAAAACAAACCCAAACACCTCCCCCCCCCAAAAAAAAAACCCAACACCAACAAACAAAAAAAAACACTCCACAAACAAAACCAAACCAAGATCACTCCAAAAGAAAGCCATTCTGTTTCATTTAGAATAAAGAGGATGAACTTCTGATTACCTTCTAGAGGATTTCAGGACATTTGTAAGGTCTGTTGCCCTGATAGAAAGGGCCAAAATGCCTTGCTCAACTATGGCAATAGCATTAAAGTGCTTGCAGAGGACTTGATGATGCTTGAGATGCTTGAGAGGCATCTTCATTTCTGACAGCGAACTGTTACACTTGCTGTCTGGGGCTATCTGCAACTGCCTCTCGCGGATCTAGTAGAGGATTGTCATTTTGGTACTGAAAGTCTCTTGATAGGGTCATTGCTTTGCAATAAGAACATTTAAAATACATTATGAATGCAAAATCAATTATCTGGAGGCCATCCAAAGACAACAGTAATGGAGGTACTGTGATAATTAAAATTCACAGTAGCATAATGGCAAACACTTCAAATACTTTGGAAAAATAATAATTCATAAATAGCTGGTGACTGGATTAATAAAGTAATAAGATACACGACCAACGTTTATTTAGCAACAAATTAACACAGCCAGCCAATGATAAAAAGGGCAAAAAATTCTTTTACTTTATCCTCTCACCAGTTGTCTTCCCCTTTAAAAAAAAAACAACAAAAACACACACACAAAAAAACAAAACTCAAAAAAAACCACCCCAAAACAACCCACCCTAAAACCCAAACAACAAAAACTAACAACAAAACTAATGTCATGCCAAGAGGTTCATTAAGGTTGACAGGGCTTGGAAAAACCACTTGCAGTTAGATAGAAATGTAAAACAATACAGAGTTTAAATACAAGTTTAGATTTGTCTTTTCATCTATTAATTTAAAAGGCCATAAATCTGCTTGGAAAGCTAGTTTGACAGAAGTACTTTAATCAAATTACACTTCAGTTGAACAGAATCCTTACAACTTGTACAATTTAAAAAGTAGCAATTCTTGTCCTTCAACAATCATGCTCTGTTAAAGAACATAAAATGTCCTTTTAACAGAATTAACAGGAGTGCTACAGCATCATATTCAAGTACCTCAAAAGTACTCTTGTACTCTCCATCAGGTTCAGTATCCACTAGCTGATGGGTCACTGATCTTATCTATGTAACTACTGTTACCACCCTCACCTCTACAGAACTCGGGGATGAAGGAAGAGAGAATGTAAGTGCTCCTCCCTCTACTTTGCCTACATACTGTAAAATTGTAGCATTTATTAAAAAAAAAAAAGTGATATTGTGATAAAAACCAACTCAGAGAAATGGGTCTTCCTTTGATTCTTAAAGCTGTAGTAGTCCCTTAATATTCTTGCTTCTTGCTGGAAAGCTCCAGATTCCATGTGCCTGTAGAAATTCCCATCCACAACCAAGACTGTCCTGCTGAGTTTCATAGGCTGATATTCTGACAATATCCAGCCCTCAGCAGCTCTTCAAGCCATCCCTGAATTGAAACATGTCTGACATTCAACACAGTCTGAGCAAATCCCACGGATGGCTTAGAGTATGAAGAAATAAACAAAACTGATCTATTCACAGGCAGAACATAATTAACCATTAACACCACCTCTGTGTTCACAGAACCCTGTCCTATGCCTGTACAAGTATGCCAATTCAAACCTGTAATCACTCCACAAGGGAAAACTCATTATGTAAACTGTTCACTATACAAAGGTATTTTGTTAAGTACTAAGTAGAAACCAATTCAAGCCACTTACCCTTGGGGATCTTAGTTCTGGTTCTTCTTTTTCACTTTCGCTGCTGGAATAATTTTCTTCTGCTTCTTTTTTAACTTCTGTTGGGGGCATTTTTTGTTCCTCCTTCACACTTTCCTCCATTGGTTCCATACGTTTCTTTATGTCTTCTACTACTTTTGGTTCATTGTGATGGATGGTCCTAAACTGAATGTTTGCAGAACGGCAATACTCTTCAAAACCATAAAGATACCTATATATGCAAATAAAGTTTTATTTAGATTTCTCTTTATTGAAGTGCATAAAAGCTATTTTCCTGCTCAGAGAAAAGCAAAAGAAGCAGTAACTTGGGGGGGAGGGGAGGGGTTAATTGTGGGGATGACAGAACAATCCCAACAAAACCAAGCAACCCAAAAAAAAAAAAAAAAAACAAAAAAAAAAAAACAACCAAACCCTCAAGCCCAAATAAAATAAAAAGCAGAGATTTTGAAAAGAAACTATTACGCACACAAATCAAATGGTGAGAAAGAATCCACACAGGTGCTTCCCACAAATTTAATTTCATCCCCATCCAATTAAGAGTTGATGACACTAAAGCCTAAGAACACGTACGCTGTTCTGCAAATGCATAATGGCAGCTAAAATCAGCCTAGTATTAGAATATGGGCATACAAACAAGTTACCACATGGTAACAAACTGCCATGCATCAGCTTGTTTTCTGGTAACTGCCTGTGTGCACACTCTAATCCAGTTATAGGTGAGCGAAATAGTAATTAGCTTATTCCTGAAGGAATAAATATGCAAGTTACAACACACTATCATGTGTCCATACAACGTAATTATTTCTCCTGTAACAGCAACCCAGTACATATTTGCCAATTACTCTTTTTATGATATTCTTCTTGCTAAAATGCAGACCTTAAATACGTGCCCAGTTCAAATCACACTGCAGACAGTCTGAATATTTTCATCTTCATCAACTTTAACATGAGTTGAGTCATTAGTCATCCCTATTCAATCAGCCAAATCTCCTTAGGTTCGACTCAAGAGAACCTCATTCTTCCCTTTTACTCAAAAAGCCCAATTGTTTCTTGTCAAACTTCCAGGAGGATAAATAATAAAAATAATTTTTATTTAGAAAAGGTTTCCATTTCAAAAGTTAAAACACAACTGAAAACCAGGGGTCAGAATTTACTCATTACAAACAGCATTTACTCATTACAGTGATTTTACTACTTCATCCTGTCACTTCCACCACAGCAACCTAAACTAAATTGCCCTAAAGCCATTATTCTATAGATTCCACAAAGATGGTATTTAAATATGCAGTCTGAAACACATCTATCTCTATCAATGTTTTTCAGGAAGCTATAGAAGCTGGCATAAAATTCTCACTGCATGCAGCATCTACAAAATTTGAATTTGCCAAAGGTGGTTTTTTTTATAATTTCATTGTTGTACTCTGAAATAACATCATCACATGCTGAAAGTGAATGCTTCTTGGTAAGGAAATTAGCAGAATTCTAATGTATTAGAGCAACAGGAACTTATGCAGCTCTGAGCACACACTCCTGTCCTCCACCGTTTCAATCCTCAGTACTGGAAAATGCTCAGAACTCTTAACTGAAGAATGAGAACTACTGTTTCACTAACCTATCACAAATTGCTTGAATATTGCACATGCTACTAAAAAAAAAAAAAAACAAAAACACAAAACACCCAGGGAAATTGTTTTCACCGTCATACAATATGAGAACTTACTTTCTATAAGCAGTTTTTACATTGTAGGAAGCAGCCGAGTTCAAAATAGGAATGCCAAGGTCCATATAAATTTGCTTCCATACAGCACCACTCTCAATCTTGGGGAGGGGGAAAAAGAAAAAAAAGGGAAGACAAAAATGAAGTTTTCAGGTTTTCTTAACTGAGAACATTAAGGAATGATATATAACACAGCCACAAGCCACAGCCCTTAAGAATGAACAGATATACATAGTTCAGGAAACGTTCAACACTTACATTGTCACACCCACCCTGCTGATACACTAGTCTAAAAAGTTGGAAGAGATTAAGGTCCTTGTAGCCCAGAACAGGTGGTTTATTGATAGGAGTACCTAAATAAAACCAGAAATAAGAATTTACCACAAAGAACAACAAACCACTTCTTCCATTCCTTTAGAACACATCTGATTACTAATATCTTTCTACATTTTAAAATCTGTATTTAATAATTCCAAGATAAAAGTCACAAGAAGTTAGTAGTTTCCAGTCAGGAATGAAGGCTTCACCTTCTTTTGAATGCACCACTTATTTCTGGGTGGTTGATTAGCACAGTGGCACCAGCTGCCTGCTAACTGTGATTTCTGGACCTTCTTTCAGATTGGTGCCATCAAACTGGCTGCATCCCACTGTCCCTCTCCTGAACAGGGAAAACAGCCAGAATTGCAGCAAGCTCCACAGAACACCTGATGAACGCAGTTACAGAGCAATGTGTGAAGAGATTAACTCAAACCACTGTGGTCTGAAAGGAATGAGGAAGCAGCAGCGATGCTGGATTAGGAAAAGATATACACAGGCAAATTGTCCGACTGTGAAAAACCACAAAGCCCTAACAGGATGTGACTATTTGGGACAGCTCTGGCAAAAAAAGAATGAACTCAAATCGGATGAGTGGCAATGATGTAAAGAACAATGATTAACTGCAAAAGGAGAAACCAGAAGTGACCTAGGGCAAGCGGCTGCGCATCTAGATAGTATTCTTCCCTTCAAGGAAAAATATCAAACCTCGCACCCTGCTGCTTCTCATCTTCATGCAATTATATTTGGGATCATTAAAATAATGTTATAGGACTTTGAGACCACTGTCACGACCACACAAATCAAAACATACATACTGAGACAACAAAATGTAGAACAAATCCTGGGGGAAATCTTCGGGGGGGGGGGGGGGAAGAAATTAATGTACACAGGCAAGGGGAAAGACCCAGTCCTGAAAAAGTCCTGTACGTTGCTCTATCAGCATATTAGCTTAAATGATAGTGTCTGGGCTGAGCCTTCAAATTTGGTGTACAAATGCTTTTTTCTTCTGTCTCTGTAAGTGCCTGAATGTGTCACATGATCCCTACATGGTTTATAGTCTGAAAGACTTAAGAAAGGGAGTGAGGAAGGAGGAAAACAGAAAAGAGGGAAGAATCATGCTACAATAAAGAAAATTGTGGATTAGTCCAGCAGCATAGGAGTATTTTTTTTCCAACCGGACATAGACTCTTACTCCCCCCCCAAAGGCAGGTTATTCTCCAAGAAACACTGGTTATATACAGGAGGCCTCAAAATTATATTGGATGAACTCAAGTATATTTTCATATATATTTCAAGATCAGTTTCTAAACCTGTGATAAGAACTGGCAATAGTGAATACACTTGGAACTGTTCTTTTACAATTCTGTGGGCTAGAATACACCTTGCACATAGGGATGCAGAGCCTCCTTTACAGAGGTAACTGGATTTGTCCCCCAGATTTTAAAATGCAACAAGAAAACTGGGGGAGGAGTGGGGGAAAATATTTATGCACTACATGCACTTTACATTTTACTCTTAGCTTTGGTTACTTCAAATTCAAGTACATCAACATTTGCTGTACTATATGCTGCTACAAAAACATAATTCAGGTAACTTTTGTCAAGGAAAAAGAGTAAAAAGGCAAGAGTTGCACTTGTAATCAACCTCTACCAGTGTTATTGCTGGATTAACACAGTATTCAAATTGTAATAGCAAGTTCATAAGTGAAATGAACAAATATACTGTAAAAGATAAAACTCCAGGCTTTTACTTTCTTTTTTTGAAGCAGCAGGGGTGTGCAGGCAAGGAACAGTAAACCTTCCATTTTAGTGTCAGCCTCATCACAATTTCAGATGTGAATGGCTTAGTCAGCAGGTATATCCTGCTCTCTATACACAGAACATGCACTTCCGGTATATACCTTAGACCAGGACTATTCCAGTACAGTCTCACCTGATTCTGTAAAGACAGACATTTAAAATATGCTGTTTTCTTGTTCTAGCCACAGGACAAAGTAACAATCTCTTAAGTTGTCTCTTCAGGCAAATATCACTGCTACACCCGCATATAATTAAGACAGTTCTGCAAGGAGACTAAAATGACCTATCTCCCATTCCCTGCTGGCTGAATTCCACCATCCATGAACAGCCTCCTCAGGTTCCAGCCTCAGATTAACAGCAGCAAAGTTCCCAGCCATGGCTGTCACAACAAGCAATCAACCAAGAGCTTATTTAACAGGGATTGTTAGCATAAAAAAGGTTTTGTGAAAGCAAAACAAAAACAAAACACCTCTGGAGGGATTTGTGTTTGTGTGCTGTGCTTCAAAGTACTAGAAGTAGACCAGCCACATGTGAAAACAGGTGAAAGTGTTTCTCCTTGCACCAGACAAGCTGTTGTCTTTTTCACTGACATGACAAATATGCTCATAATAATACCCATTACATTTAAAAGCTATTTTAAAAAGCCATTAAAGTAGGCTATAGGTTACATTATAAATAAGTACAGTAATTGTTACCTCTGTCTTCCATAAACTTGTAAAGCTGTTGGAGGAAGTTGTCCCTCTCTTCAGGATCAAGCTCTTCCTCAGGCTGTGAAAGCAAATGCAGTCATAATGAAAACATAAAATACAAGAAGTAACAATTTATTTGTACAAAAGCCTAAGAGTGAGAACTAAACCCAAACCACTTCCCATTTGGCCCTGCACCCATATAATGGTGAAATATGCAGAAAACAAAATTTACTCCAGAGACTGAAATGTGTACCTCATGAAGAGAAAATGCATGCCAGGGAAAGCCTCAATCCATGACATAAAGAATGTAAGTATGACCCTCAAAATGAAAACACTAATACACTTTCCATACAGTTCTAAGGAGAACTTTTATGCATATTTGTAAGACTGGAGCAGTTCACAGGAGCTCTAGGGATTTTGGTTTTGTTTGTTTGGGGTTTTCTTGTTTAACTCATCCTCTTTACCCCAGCTCTAGCTAAGGTTGCAGAACACTTCTTTCTCCAGCCATTCCTGGTTCTGATGCTCCACACAGTACTTTTACTTTTTGTGATTTAGATTCCACTGCTTGATTTCAGCTCATATTTGGAAACAATTTTAGTGCTGCTTCTGTAATTTACTGTTATAAATTCCTTTCCAACCTAAATCTTAAAGAGTGAAATATTTTTTTTCTATTCAGGTGGAAACCATGAAAACACAGTACATTTATTGGGGGGTGGGGATAGAGATACAGAGATATAATGTCTACATATACTCCATGGATTTTTAAGATTTTAGCAGAGAGAGAGAGAGAGAGAAAAAAACAACCCTGCAACACTTTACACATGCCACTTTCTTCCTGCCAGCCTGGCAATCATAGGGATTGCTGGTAAAGCAGTTTGCGCAGGAAGGACTGCAGCTGTCTTGAAGGAAAGACGTAACAGTATGTGTCAAAAAAATCTTATCATTCCATTATTAAAAATAACAGAAAAGTCACAAGCAGTTCCAGAAGGAAACCAGAATAGCAATTTCAATTTCAGTTGTCTCTGCATTCTGTAAACTTTAAGCTTCAAGGCAGGAAGACAGGCAGTAAAATGTAAATGTATATGCTACTGCTGTGTTAACCAGAAAGCAATTTGCCCAGTATCAGAATGAATTTCAGCCCTGCCTGCTTCAGTGAATGCTGAGCTTCAAAGCCCAGCAGGGCTCACCTGCAATCAGGTAGAGACAATACCTGTTTCCTATTTTCCTACTTTTTTTTTTTTTTTACTCTGATGTTTACCAGTTAAAGGCAATACAGTTTGAACTATGCAAACTAAATCTAAATAACAGTAAACATCCTGAAATACTTTTGAATAGTTGAATTCAAACCATTTATTTCATATAGGCATAATGCCAAACCAGAACTGTAGGTCAGAACTGCAGAAATTGAGGTTAGAAAGAGCACTCTTGCAGACAGAATGTTAACTGTTTCACTGATAACAAGTATTTTTAGCTGAAGCAAAAAGGAAAGATGAAAAGCTTTTTTATATACTTATAGGACAGGGGCATAAAGCCCAACTGCAATATTCATCCACTATGTGAGACATCCCGAGTCCTGCATCTGCTTCTCTGTTGACGGTATATGAGTTAGGTTGCCACCCCTTGACAGACAGAGCCTGAACGGTGCCTGGCACCAATACCAGAGTAAATACAAAACCCTTCAGAGAGGAGATTTGAGTAAGACCTGAAAGACTGACCAAAGAATAAATCACAGTTCAGCTATTTCAAAGTCTTTCTTTTGCTACTGGCCAAAATGAGAAAGTCCAACCCTTCATTGATAGGCTTATTACAGCATTTAAGATACATGGATTTTTATAAGTGGTCATTTTTTAATCCAGGTTATCTATTCATTACTGGACATAAATGAATTCCTAGGAGTGTCTACTGCTCCGAGTTAAGAGTTTTATTTTAAATACATCAAACATTACCCAAGATGCTGTATCAGCAACCTTAAATCTGCACCTGAAAACAAGAAAACTTGACACCACAACCTGTGATCACCAGCGGTGGGTGACTGGAGAACTAAAATTCCCAGTATCTGTTTCCAGTAGGCACTGGGTCAACACTGCTAGCTGCCAGAACTCACTTTTATCCAGACACTTATGTCCATTTTAGGCTGGGTGTAAGTTAAGTTCAAAGTGACAACTGCGCAGAATCAATTTCTTAAGAGTTCTGTCTCTCTGTTTCATTTTAGTCTTATATAAATGGTGCAAAAAAGGGAAACTGTAGTCAAAGATAAGTCCGACTGCAAGGCAAAACAATATGCAATTTTTAAGCAGAAGGAGTTCAAAATGGAGACATTCCTATTCTTTATCCAATACCCACAAGTAATGCATGATGAGAAAATCTTTTCTGTTTCAGGGTGCGAGGCTGAACAAGAATCTCCAGGATGCCCTTTTTTGCCCATAATTAAAAAGTTGAAACATTACGGGTTTGAGATTTTTTGCTCCTGACTACCAGGTCAGATCAATTAGAAAATACTGTAAGGAGTAAACCAGTGAAATCAACAGCTACACAGGATCTCTGTGTAAGGGAAATATTTCTTTCCCAACGCTATTTCTTACTGCTTTCCAAGTAATACTGTGTTCAAGTAATTCATAAAATTATTTTAAGAATAAGAACCAGCAAATAAGCACAACATTAAGCACGGAGAAACCTGCAAAAAACTTGTCACTGGTTTTGCTTCAATTTGTTTCAAGCCACTTCATTCACCATGAGTTTTCCTTCTGTCTTCAGCATTATTTCAAAGAGTATATCTCTGTTATCCTGACTCATCGTTTACAGAAAGATGTTAAAGCTTCTGTGGATGCACACCTGTAGAGCTGAGTGGGAGCACAAAGGATGAAACAATTTCTTCTACAAAACAAAGAATGAATCTCTACTTAGAAGCACGTACACCATATACTCAAAATCAATATGTAGCAAACGTATCAGGGATCCTTCTTTTATGTTATTAATAGACAGCCAATACCATAAACTCTTCTGTGAAATAAATACAAGCTAGGAGGAAGAACAATGTGTACAGGATTTGGAGTTCACAAGAGTATATAATCAAGACAAGCTGCCACAATTAGAGTTAATGTTATTTTGTTGCTTCAGAGTACTTAAACGTGTTTTCATCACTTTGCACATTTGCTTTCTGATGCCAAGTCTGAACACTAATTAAGGAAATGAAAAGAATTAAACCAACTGCAACACGTTAACAGCTTTACACCATGTGGAGATTTAGAGTGATCTTAAAAATGTTAGTTTCTACCAACCAGGAATTCAACCATATTTAACAGTGGCTCACTCTAGAGCTGTGCCTCAGTTTGCAAGTTCTTCACTCCTTTTTGAAAGAATATTCTGAGAATGACCAGTTAGCATAAAATTGTGAGCAAGAAAATCTGTGTGAAGAACATTTGTGCATGGTATGATGCAGGTCATAGTTCACAGTAGCCAAAACCACTCCAAATGCAGGTAAGCATGAGAAGGATGATTAGCTAATCAGTATTTAGCTAGGCTTTTTTTTAAGTCATTTTGCTATTACACATCACAGCTGCTTGAGGTTTGTTTTTTTTAATATATGTAAATAAATCACTTGTTTCTGCATACCATGCTTCAATAACTTTGAAATTACTGTATTCCTGTATATAACTTTTAGAGTCAGCTTTTTCAATGTTATCTTAAAATACAGAGAGGTTACAAGAGAAATAGACAATTGGGTATCAATTTGGGCCTCCCACAGTCACTTAGAGAAAAGACTACGTGGGGAACAAGAAGTACCTTGAAACAAAATGTAAATATTTGAATAGATGACTGCTGACCATTTGGAGGAATCTTAAGCTCCTAAAACACATCATAGATTTCATCCTCATGGACTCATCCCTCCTTTATGAACTTAGTGCAAATAAAATATACAGTAATAACTTATTCTGAGAATCAAAATCCATGCTTATCTGCAGAATAGGTACACTGGGAAATGCTTCTGGCACTTTCCCTGCTCAACAACATAATGCAGCTGTGACCAATGTTTCTTGATGATGCTGTGGTGCAAGAACCCTAAAAACTTTAAATGAATGCACACTATTAAACATAGTACACATACATCCTTCAGGTGACTGCCAAAATAAAGACTAAGAAAATTCCCCTAAGCATACACTTTGAGGTGCTACAGCTTCTTTTACAATGAGAGGCACCCCCAGCTAGCTGGATATTTTCCATGAATGTTTTCTGCATGTCTGATTAAGGGAGGGAGAAGTGAAAGACCAAGGAACTGTAATTAAAGTGACACAGATAAACTGGAAGAGTCTCTCAAAGACAGTGTTATAACTAATTCTACAGGACAGAAATCGCTTTTTGATATTATAAAATGATACAATTTTGAAACTTGCAAAATTCAAACTCTAAAGAACAAATGCCTTACTTTTATCTTATGTGAATGTATCTGTTAAGAACACATACTGAAGATGTATCTCAAATAACTGCATGTTAGATCTTGATTCTTTTAGAATCAGAATGGCCTACAGGGAGACTGAGAGGCAAAACCAAATGTTGCCTCCATGTTCCCTGGTAAAACTGGGAGTATTTGACTATGTAATCACGAGAAACAGATAAGTATCACTTCTTCCCTAACAGAACAACTTACAAACAAGCAAATACAGTAGTATATATAATCTGATTTTTAATAAAAATCAGGTAATGTTCCAAAAGCTTCTATTTTTATGTGGAGATACTACAGATGAGATTTTCATTTCAGCTGCAGTGCATTCTTTTGACTGCCAAATGTGCCCTCAAAACACAGTTAATTCTCTTGTTCTGACATGTTGAAAAATGGCTAAGAACCAAAAGCAATATCCAAATTTTTATCCGGATTCAAACCCATTGAGTGATTCTTTAAATTTTCATTTGATAAAGAATTCTTTTTTACAGTGCCTCTGGATTTTTTCGCTCTTCATGATGCAAGCAGTATCTGTTCTGTTATTCAAACCTCACTCTGTGAATGAAAAGTAATCCTCAGTTGCCCCATGTACTGCAATTACTGTCAAAAATCCACCAGTTTGACCATGCTGAGCAACTTGGTGTAATACAATTTCTGTTAATGTCAATGACAAGCAATTTCCACGGCATCCTCCTCTGTAGCCAACTTTGGACCACATGAGTCCATTAACAGCAATGAAGAGGATGAGCATCTCACCACCACCATACTGGTTCCACTCCTTAGCTTATAAAAGCCATACAAGAGCAACTACATAAAACCTGGAAACCCTGTTGTACCAATTCTACTGTACTCTTTTAAGATGTCACAAAAGGCAGCACAATTAGAAAGTCTATGTTAGAATCAAGTTACAGATTTTAATTCAGATACTGGAAAAATGGCAGGATCAATCTATAGTAGATCTCTTTGCTCCATAATCATTATTAAAGATCCTACTTCAGAAAAATAGGATCTTTTCCACTCCAGAATTAGACTTTTCTGACTGACTTTATTTTCTCATTATATATTAGGTAGGTCTGTGTCCATTTAATTGATTTAATAAAGGCCTATCATGGCTGGTCAGCAGCTGGGCAGGTCTTGACAGCAAAGCTGCTGTGCATTTCAGAAGATCGAGGGGGGGGGGAAGATAGTGTTTAAAATCTCTCTCCCATCTCTAGTAATAGAACAATTTGCAGTTCTAAAACAAAAGGTTCACTGGGAATATTCTGGGAGAGGATGGACAGAAGCTATTTTTGACCTTGATTAATAAAGGAGAAACGCTACAAAATGTAAATGCAAAATTTGAGTGATTCAACATCTGTAGTCAAATAAAGGCAAAAAATACCCACTTGTCGATTCTCCCTGCAACTGGTGTTACTGCCTTTATAAGGGAAAACAAAAAAGAAAATGAAAAATTCCCTAAATGCTGTCTAACTGCAACGCAATATCTAGCATAGCCCACAATTAAAATAAGATGATGTATTGTAACAGCTGAATCAGAAATTTGATTAATGGGCCACCATGGCAGTTCGGCTCTGAAATAATCTACAAAGATTAACATCTCTCCTCTACTACATAGCTTCAGCATGAAGATGCTCACCTTATTTTTACATGCCTACTTGACACCTAGAAATAATGGATTCTATACCTTCTCCGCCAGCATATCTACCTGTCTGGAATCCTTTGCTTTACTACTCTATATTTAGATTATTCTTCTAAAATAACCTCTATTTCTTTGACAAGAATGCCTTTTTTTTCATTAAAAAAAAAACAACCAAAAACCACCAAGCTACCCCCTCCCCCTTCTTTGTTTGAAACACACTGCACTTTTATGCAATAGCCATGAAGAATTTTAAAAACGGATACTAGAAAACTACTATAGTAATCCTTGATTTTTAGTGACCGATACTTTGCAATCTGAACCAACGTTAATACAAACAGACCAACACAGACTGCAACAGTTCACACCCTGCAAAATGTGGCCTATTCAGTCCTTGTCACTGCAAACAGGAAAAAACCCAGAGGATTTTATATTCTGCAGACATTTATCCTTATATTTATCTAATCACAGCATTATTCTCATACAGACATCTACCCCATTTTCCAGAACACTGTTATCAAGGCATACAATTAACACCTAAAAATAGATTCTTATTGTCTTTTTTACCTGGAAAGCTCTACCCTGGTTGCATGCTCCACCAGACAGTTCCCAGATCACAATTCTAAGTCAAAGCCACATTCTTAACAACCATGTTAACATTACAGATTAAAACAGAGAATCCTTACCTAGGAGCTGCATTCTTTCAAATGTAAAATGGTTTTACTTCCTTTCTATCTAATCTGCCTACTGCCTGGGCATATTTCAGCCTGACTTCCATATATTTGCTCGCTTTCTCTCTCCCTGCACAGCACCCGCAGTTATACGGCATTACTTACATTCTCTTCCATATATAAAAAAAAAAACAAACCCTAAAAAAAATAAAATAAATAATACTAAAACCCCAGACATTACATGGAAGGCAAAGCAAAGAGACAGCCCATTTCAGAGCATCTGGCAAACCTCCCCCTGGCCGCCGGCCAAGCCTCCGCTCCAGAGGCCTCCCCCCCAGCTTCCCGCTCTCCGCGCATGCGCGCTGCCAGCCAACACTCGGTTGCCGTGGCAACGCTGTAGGCCGCCTCCAAGTATGAACGGCCATTCTGTGCTGGGGCTGACAAGGCCGCACGCTGCAGGGCGAGCGAGAGGGAAACGGCGCCGGACCTCCCTCAGGAGGCAGAATCCACCGCATTTTTCTATCGAAACGCATGTTTCCGAGCGTCCTGTGAAAATCGCACAACGAGGGGAAAGAAACAAATCCAACAGCCAAGCACACCCCCTACTTCTAAAAATTGGCTGCAGAAATAAACGGAAATTCTGTACACAGCTTTGATGACATGAAGAAACTGGCTGACTTTGGGGAAAAGGAACCACTCAAACCAGTTTAATGCAGAAAAACATTATACTGTAACTATTAGACAGCAAGTCCACCTCCACGGTGGCTGATTCACGACCTGTGATACTGGTGTTAAAAACTCTAACATACCATTCCTAAACAGTGTCTTAAGCACCAAAGACCTTTTAATGGTCTCTGTGCCTTAGCTTATACTTTCAGCCTACTGCTTTTCCTTCAACATAGAATTGTAGAATCATAGAATAGTTAGGATTGGAAAGGACCTTATGATCATCTAGTTCTAACCCCACTGTCATGGGCAGGGACACTTCACACTAAACCATAACACTCAAGGCCTCGTACAACCTGGCCCTGAACACTGCCAGGGATGGAGCATTCACAACCTCCCTGGGCAACCTATTCCAGTGCCTCACCACCTTAACAGGAAAGAATTTCCTCCTTATATCCAATCTAAACTTCCCCTGTTTATGTTTTAACCCGTTACCCCTTGTCCTATCACACCAGTCCCTAATGAAGAGTCCCTCCCCAGCATCCTTAGAATCCCCCTTCAGATGCTGGAAGGTTGCTATGAGGTTTCCACGCAGCCTTCTCCAGGCTCAACAGCCCCAAAGTTTGTCTTTTTTCTTTTAATCAAACTACTGTTTTCAGAAACAAGTTACATTTTACACAACCTATACATGAAGTACAAAAGAAAATACAGTTACTTTTATTTACAGTTAGATTACTACTACCAGGCTCAGCACCAATTTTTTGCTTATGGCTCTCTCCTGACCCAGACTCTTTCCATCACTCTTCTCTGCCTTGCATTCTTAAATTCTAAGATTTGACTAATTTCTGCACTGGATAACAGGAGGCAATTGCCACTCACAAACCCCAGTAAAAACAACTATAGCAGAGGAAAGATGAACAGGTCTGGAAAGATGATGATGCAATTATGCTACATCTGAGAGTACTGGAAAGTGCAGGATCTTCAGGAAGGCAAGTTATTATCTTTGAAGAATTACTAAAATTGCCCAGACTTACCACTACTTCTTCAGTTTTCTCTTCCCTTTTTAATTCCTCTTCATCAGTTCCTGCAGCAGCTCCATCTTCCTCATCACTGCTCGAGGACTCTAGGATTTCACTTATATCCATTTTCCAGTTCCGAGGAACAATCTTAGTGCTGAGAAACATGCTTGCCTCCTGTAGCCCTACAGAAGAAGGGGCCCTGGTTTTACCTCATCCACAGTATTCACAGCCACAAAGTATTTTTAATTTCCTTTTCACATTCTTGTAAATCACAATTATGACTTAACCCAAACGAAATTCAGCTTTAAACACCCAAGTTTACAAACTTTACATTTTGAGACTGTCAAATTTTAAAAATCAAGTGTCAGCAACTCAAGGAGTTTAGAGTTGAACATACATGTTGAGAACATACATCTGTGGGATATATCCACAACCAGTTGTTTTCTAGGCATAGATCCCCACAAACACTACTATGATTTACACCTAATTATATGAATGGTACAAAGACAAGCATCCTATACTCTTTCACATATATTCCATCCAACTGTAAACCATTCTGTTTCCTAAGGGATAAATACTGTAATAAAGCTATTTAAAAAACATAAACCCATCACAGTTAGATCAACCACTATGACTTACTCTGTTCTTTTCAAAATACCTTCATGTCTTAAAGTTGAGATTGCACAAAAAAATGCAAATATTTTCTCGAAGAGCACTGCCTAAAGAGATGCTACATTTATGTTTGGAACAGAGGAAAAATACAATAGTGAATGAGGGAGTGATGGGACACGGGGAAGTCACACTTGTGTAACGGGAATACCTCAAATTCTTTTCCTTGAAGATGTGCTCCAATGGGAGAAAACAACAAAGCAAAATAGACCCAGATAACTGCCAAATATGCCTGCCAGTCATAATAGAAGACTTTAACAAAGATGAGTCAGAAGAATACCCAAAATAGGGACATAAAACAATAACCAACTCACAGATCAACTACTATGACTTACTTTGCTCTTTTCAAAATATAAAAAAGACAAGGGAACAGGTTTTAATAGCTGATTAACCTGCAGAAATCTGTCTAAACTCATTTTGTAAAACCATGAGTACCTTTGGTTCCACAATATTCCCTCATAGCAACGAATGCCACAGCCCAATTCTAATCATGATCAGCACAGTAAAAAAATCCCTTTCTTCTGTTTATCTTAAAACTGGCATCTGATCTTTTTTTGGTTTAAAGTTCTTGTACTGCAAAACACTTATGAAGAAGAAAGTAGAAATCATTAAAACCACCTCTAGCTCTCATTTGTAAGTATCATGTTAAATCTTTACTTGTTAAGAAGCTGTTCCGTACCTTTACTCAAACCAAAGGAACTATTATTAAGTGGGAATTATTGTTGCTAGGTGGGCTTTTTCTTAGTTATTAATAAATGAGTTTTAAATATTTCTTCTTAACAAATTTCATGTTTTGGGGTCTAAAAATGAAACTAAAAGTTTAAGAATTATTTACATTAAAGCTCACTAAAAATAAGGATTATTGTAGTCACATCATTCATCCATCCATAAATCATATTCTGTAATTAGACTTTTCAATCAAATATTAATCACAGGCAGGCTGTTCTAATAAAGTTTACACCTTGCTGTCTGGGTATTTTTAGTGTGAAGTCTAAGTGTTTTGAGCAATAGCACAACACTCTGGTGTTAGGAGATGTAACTGTGTATTTCATTGTTCAAGGACATTTCAAATACACTGTCTTGAAAATATTCTATATCCTTTCCACAGATTTGGAGAGGATCAGAATAAGGAAATAAAAATCAAATAAACAAGACTTCCAGGTGCTATTTTAATAAGGCAGCTACAATCAAAGTTTCTCTAATTTATCACATTTAAAATCGTTTGCAAAACACCCAAGAGTAATCAGAAATCAACAGATCATCATTTATCAGCAAAAGTTAAAAGTACTACTTCATGAGATTTCCTTTAACACTTAAAATTTACCTTTTTTAGGAGAGGACTCAGATTTTGGTAAGTTTTGAACATCCAGTTCTTTAATGTCTTTTCTTGCTACTGAGTAACTGAAAAAGAACAAGGTTCTGTTAGGATTTGTATATCACAGTAAAGTAAGCATTTGCCTTAGAAGAACACTGATGTCTAAAATTGGCAAGATTTATCATTCACTTTCAAGATCTTTTCTAAAAAATGAATGTGTAAGACATTTATTACCGTAGGTCCTAATGCAAAATTCAAACACAGAGTAAGCTTCCAGTCTTTCTATGAAACTCAGACACTAAAAGAGCCCTTGTAATTAAATAATAAAGAGAAGTTTGTAAAGCTTTTGTATTTTAAATGTTTAACCTTGTTTAACAAATTTGCAAATACAAAATACTCCACACAGGGAATAAAAAAATCTAAATGAATAAAATATTGATGGGAAAACATTCACATCAATCAACAGCTGTTACCCAAATAGCATTCTAGCTAAGATGAAAGAAGTATTTATGCATTTCTACTAGCACAGAACAGTAAAGCCAAATTCAAACAATTGCATTGATAAACAGTTTTTGGTTTTAAATTACAAAACTGTTCTCATAGCAAAATATATGGCAGTTGATATGTTCTAGTTACAGTCAATATTCAGTTACTGAATTACTACAACAGAAATGCTAACCAACCTGTAAGGAAAGCCTTACAAGTGAGTTTTTATAAAAGATTTTTTTTCTTCTTTCATTATTTCAGAAAAACTGGAGTAACACCTCAGGAACTGGAGGCCGTCACTTTCTGAAGTTAAAGCCATAATATTATGGGGGAAAAAAAAAGTGAAACAGCAAGTCTGCATGCTTTTCCGGTAACATCCTAGCTTCAGTGTATAAAGAACCATTTATCTAGAAGGCTGATGATACATGTCTACATTAACAGGCCAAACTAAATGAAGTCTTGAGTTATTTGAAATATGTTTCAGTAATCAAGTGCTCACACCCTACTTAAAATCAGAGTTATTAAAAATCACAAATCATTCACTTTGAAAGAAGCAGGGAAAGAGATGTGATTGCTGGCCTTTGGCAATGAAGTTTTTTAGTTACAGTACATTCAGACAGATGCATTAGAAGTAAGGATGAAGAGAAATAAACAGAACCAGCTTTAAAAAAGCAGGCTTTATACTCTTGAATATATTACTCCTTAAGCAGGACAGACATCTCTCTCACTCTCCCCCCTCCCTCCCCATGTTGGGGGTGGTGGTGTTATGTGTGTGTGTGTGTGTACTAATAGGACCAATCTTTCTTTTTGCAAGAATCTTAGTTCAGATTCTGTAAAAATTTTAATTAAAGTTATGTTATATTCACTTTTTTATTAAAAAAAAGTAAATTAAACACTGCTATTTAAACAGTCACGGACATTGGGCACTGAGTCAGACATCTGAACTACAACAGACATAAAGGCATAATAATTAAGACATTAAGGGAACTAATTAGAACTAAAACTCACACTTCAAAGAACAGGAGTCATCCAAAGTGTTAACACTTGGGGTGTTTTGAAGTTGTTGATTTTTGGATTTTTTCATAAAGAAACATCAGAAACTTCAGTAATTCAATGAACTCTTACTAAACCTCACAAAGTGGGCAAGTAAACACAGCAGCAGTTGACTTGAAATGGATTATGACAGACAAATGCGTACAACCAACTTTACACAAAGATGTACCCTGTCCTTATGGAAGAAATAATGCCTTCAGAAGCAATGTGTAATTAGTTTTGCATTTTCCTCCCATATACATCTAATGAAAGTGAGCTATTACTTACAATTTGGAATCTGCGAAGGATCGAATTAAACACTGGTCCTTTTTCACTGTGACGTCATCATTACAGCTGGGAGACACAACCTGAATTTAAAAAAAACCCCACTTTTTTAAAGCAAATAACAATTAAAAAAAAAAAAAAAAAAGCTGATCCTGAAAGGAAAGAAAGATGGACAGCAGGAAAACTGCTGTTTTCCTGTTTCTTCTATGATAATTTCCAGTTCTGAGAAAAGAAACCTATTCCAATTTGTATTACTAAGGCCAACAATGACAAATTTCAAGAAGCAGTTAATCTCAAACTATGAACTTCACTTATGAACAAACCATAAGAGTTCGCAGTTTCATTTATAAACTCAAAACTCATCTACTGCTTTTTTTTCCTTTCTTGTTCACACAAAACCTGTTTAAAGCATTTGTTTAAAAAGTCACAGACCCACTTATTTGACACCAGCTTTCAAATTGAAAGTAGTATGGGGTTTTTTCTGAGGTGTGTATAATACAAGACAGCATGGAACCCAGTGCATCCTTCCACAGCAGTATCATCTCTAAGTCCAAAAAGGTAATATAAATGCATTTGCACTATTTGTATTACCACAAACAGAACAAGTTTCCATTTTGTTCTAGACCATATACACATACAAAGTGTCAAAAGCAGATGAACTTCTGGGTCTGTAAGGATACCGTGGGAGCTGTGCAACCCCAGTCAGAAGTTTTACCCCAAAAATCAAGATAAGACATTCCTGGTTTTCAGCAGAGAGCAGTACAGGTTCATGTCCTCCAGTAACTTAAGTCCCCTAGTTGGAACCATGGTAAATTAAAATCTGTCATTAGTAAAGGCATATACAACAATCACAGCACATACAACAAGGACAGAATTCACATTTTAAACTGGGATATATACAGCTGGGTAAGCCAGTGTCAACTATTCACTCTACATTACACTTCTTTCAAGGAAGAGAAGATAACTGGCTGTGTAGTTAACTGCCTCTTGATCCTGGATTCATGAAGGGACATTCTAGCAGCTGAGCTAATCCTGAAGACTCAAAATAAAGGACTTTAGAATATACAATTCAGTAAATAAAATATGCAAAGATTAGTGAACCAAACCTGACCAATGATCTACATAACAACAAAAAAAAGGGAAGCAAAAAAAACCACAGACAAAAAAAACAACAAACCCCAAAACATCTCTGATGGATGACAGAAGATGTGTATTGAGCTTGCCTGACAATAGCAGAAAGATTACTAACAAAAGCAACTGTTAATATGCAACTGTAAATTCTTCTGTGTGATGAAACTGCAAAGTGTTTACCTCTGCAGTACAAGTTCACTTGTACTTGAATTTATTTAATATATATTTATTATCAGCAATTGCAATAAACAGCTATATCCTATATTGACAGTAAAATAAAAACAATAACCAACATCTACTGCTACAGTAACTGGCCATTTATGTAAATGCAAGCATGAAAGCAACTAGTATTTCATAAAATTGAAAGTTTAAGGAAAAAGGCAATCATTAAATACAAAAAGAGAAAAATTTCACTGCAATTAAAATTCATAAATCCAGTTGGCCTTAAAAAGCCCTGGAGTGCAATTCCTAATGTATCTTATTTTTAGAAGAAAAATATAATTACATATCAATCATTATATGTGCAGTTTTGAAAGACTTAAGAGGTTATACATAAATGATAAACTCTGCTTTCAAACTCTTCAAAGATACTGTAGAAAATTTGCATTTTTTACAAAAACGGGCAGCAGAGCATAGCCTGAGTACATTTGCAACTGCTGGAAAAGTTGTGAAGTGTACAAAACAGTCTATCCAAGAAAACCACTACATGAACACTGTAGCAAGTCAGATGACACTCTTGTCTAAAAAGACAGTTATACTATGACACTAGAGATGTCAACATCTCAGGCAACTTACCAAAGCCGGATACCAGTCTGTCTTCTCAGAACTGCAAGTCACACTCACAACTTTACCAAGCAATTCATCATTTAGACGTCTTTTATCTTCATCCTCTTCTTCACTGCTTTCTTCTTCCTTTTCATCTTCAGTACTAAATTATTAAAACACACAGTATTTTAAAGTTTTTGTCTGAAGTTAATATTTGAAAGCAAATACAGCTTACAACCAGATCTTTCTTCTTGTTCTACACAGCTTCAAAAACAAAATGATAATTTTAAAAGCTGAAATCACTTGAAACACACCTAAATATTAAGAGCACTTACTTACTAAGAGGAGTTTTGTAGAAATTCTTTCCAAGTAGTAGTATTTTACAACAGCATCATGTTGGAATTGGAGGCATGAATCAGGATTTGATTGTGCACAGACATGAAACAAAGAAAAATAGTATCTACCCCAGAAATTTAAAACCACTTTTTTCCTACTTTGTCCAGTATAAAGGTTAAAAAGCCTACACTTTCTGACACAAGTTCCTGTTATATGAAAGAAGCACAAACTTAAGGCTACTACAAGCAAAACTCCATCAATTTCATAATAGTGATAACATACAAATATGCCTGTATGAACCAAGACACTTAAGTCCGTAAGCTGTGCATTCAACTCACATGATAAGAGTATTCAGACCATTCAGTGGCATTACTTCAGTTTTAGGAAAGCACACTAAAGGAAAGCAACAGAACACTAGCAAAACTCACACAGGAAGAGAAGATCTTCTTCCTCTATTAGACTTTTTCCCAATAACTGGAGTTCCAAAGTGCTCTGGGTTGGTTAGTGGCAGTTGATCAAGTGTCTACATAGAAGAACAGGAAACAAAATTAGTTTACATTATCTTCTTATTATAAAAAAATATAAATTAACCACTTAGTTTCTACTGCATATCCATCATCATCTTACCTCACTTTCTGCGAAGTGCCTTTCTCCTTTTAAACATAACGAAGTTCGTCTCAAGGTCCTCTCATCACCGTCATCAAAAACTAGTATGAAGCCAAGGAAAACAATTGGTACAAGATGATCAGATCTCTTTCCCAAGCTGACAAAACAAGTCTACTATTCATCTCACAATCCAGAATATTTTCTGAAAGGTGACTTCACAAGCAAAATTAAGGGTGGTATTCAAGATACAGTTTCACAACAGGTAACATTTTCAGATGGAGATTCAAGCCAGTATAAAGTAAGGATATTGGATGCAACAATTTCAGTCTAATTTAGACATCCTTCTTATCAATACATTGCACATTTCAAACCATAGCTACTGCATGCATACCAATCTCTGGGGTTTGATGAGTTTTTTTACCCTATTTCTTCCTCACTTATGCTACCTTTTAATCCTCCCTCTTGCTACAACAAGCACCCAAAAAAATCACTAAGTGGAAAAAAAAATCTTTGCAGAATTTTTTGCTACACCATCAGTGCTGTGCTACCAACAGACTGTGACTGCTGAACAGGCCCCTTTCAAAGAGCACAGACAAGGTGGCTGCAGTCTGGCATTCCAGTAAGGTAGAAGTTTATTTGTATGAGGTCAAAGTGCAGAGTACTACTCTATATTTAAACTACTTGAAATGTGCTTTGTCCACTAGTGAACTTGGGGGGGGGGGGGGAGGGGGGGGGGAAGGAAGTATTCTGCATATCAGCACAATGATTTTGACATACTTTAATTAAGAGATCTCTTGAGCTAGCGTGAATATCAAATATATGTTTATTGTTAGGTTTCAGCAATTGGTTGCAGCAAGAAAAGCACTTTCATTTTTCAAACAACTAAACAGAACAGTCACATTTTCATAGTCTTAGATTAGAACCATAGACTGCAACAGTAACTATATAGAAAGGTACGAACAAAAATTTTATTAAGCTTGTTAAGATAAGCTTTAACATTCCTCCATCTTCAGGGTACCACTGCTGCGGTATGGTTCATTACTGAGTTATCTTAATGGCTTATTTGTAATACGTGCACATATAAAGCAACTAACCTTTCCCCCCGCCCACCAAAAGCCTCATGTTTTAAGAATGGTAGATACAGATATGCCTAATTAGCTATACTAGTTAACAGTATACTCAAAACTTTTAAAGTATCAATACCAGTAAAACCCATCAACCTCAACATCAGTATGTTAGTCTCAAAATCCCCTAGTTGGCTTACAGCTCACAAAGCCACTGCTGTGACACTTCACACTAACGGGAAAACAAAGTATGAGCTCTTCCCCTCTGCAATACTAATTCAGCACTGGCACCCATTGATCAGCTCAGTGCAAACACCAGAGTGCTCAAAAGAGTTATGAAGTTCAGCTTTGTCATAGGTTTACATTAATGAAAAAAATCTATATCCTTGCCACTCCTCTGAAGGTAAAGTTCCATTACACACTCCAAACCTGTCAGTCAGCAGCTCTCTGCACACTTTGATAACAATTTTTAAGCTTTAGGGTGATTGGGCTGGTTGGTTGTGTTTTCTGGTTTTGGGGGATTTTTGAGTGTTCTGTGCACCCTACAGTGTGTGCCATTTCTCACTGCTCTCAACAGACTTATAAGGAGATTTACCACCATTATCTTTTGCCAAACACATTCAGAACTAAAGTCAAAGTACTGATTTTTACAAATAATCATAGGAGACAAATGGCTGCTGATTTTCAACAGGTAACTTTACTGAAAAGAGAAAACAGAACACGATACTTGACAGTAAGTAAATAAATTTTAAAAATTAGCCTAGTTTATCTCCAATTTTGGGAGCTCTATCTATTTAATTAAAACCCCTTCAGTACAGGAGAAAAAAAAAATAAAATCAAACCATTCATAAGCCAGCTGACATAGACCATTTTTTCATCCCTAAAAGATAAATCTTATAAATATTGAGTGTTTAGTAAAATCCAAAGTGAAACACACTAAACTCTACTTCAATTAGGATACGTAAGGAAATTATGACAATTAAGAATTGCATGAGATATTCTGCTTCCCTCAATTACAAACATGCAAGTTAATTTAGAATTTTGAAAGTTACAAAATTAATACCAAAAACCAATACAAGGAAACTATAGACTGAAAATGTAACTGCAATTGCAGAAGTGTCAACTTCATGAATTTATATTTCACTTTGATGGACAAAACAATGTGGAATTAAAAATACATAATGGTGGGTAATTAAGTTTTCATTATCACTCCCCGGACCCAGAGACAATGAAAGAGTGCAAGTGCGTTCAGAGCTGGCACTCAGCTTCCAGTCCTATTCCCAGTCTCATACATGAAGGCAGATTTACTCCATGTCTCAAAAGCAGCCCTCTTCCTACAAGCCTTTTCCTGCCATGTCTCTAGGTGAAGGTACAGAACTGGCCTGTTCTACAAAAGCTGCTTGTGCCTTGCTGTAGAGGGAAAAAGTGCCAGGCCACTCTACAATTTCCAGAACAGGTGGGCTACAAAAAAAGAAAACAAACACCAACCCCAAAACACCTTCTGAAACCCCTCTTCCTGCTCCTGAAAAGAAAGCCACTCTTTCCAAGAGAATGGAGTACTTTCTCTCGTACAAGAAGTTATCACCCAACTTCAGGAAAGGTCTACAGCAGAAATTCTATAGGCTGTATTCCATAAGAGAGAATTTACTGGACAGTACCAGTTGTGTTGAAGGAAAACAGGAAGAGAAGACAGGGATGTATCTCCCCATACACGTGTAATGTAGTCATCAAAGGATGAATTTACAGTGCCACAATATTTACATCAGAAGAGAAACTTACAAACCTGTCCTTCCGAAGAAACAAGTATGAAAAAGCAGAAGGCCTCTAAGTACTGCCATTGCCTAATCTTGTAGTAGGCATGTACTTGTGGGGAAACAGGGTGTGCCAGCTGACTACTTCAGTAAATACTTCTGGAAAGAAAATGGTACTTACTAGACAAGAACCTACACACTACTATTTAAAAGTCAATATAAAGAAGTAGGAAAGACAGAAAGAAAAGCAGTGTTTCTACTGGCCACAGGCCTTTCTTCCAAAAATGTTGTTGAATGACGAACACTGACAGAAGGGGAAAAAAGATGACTAAGCAGCACAACCTGGAGAAGTGTCTCCACCACAGTGCTTGTTCTAGTCCTGAGAATGGAGTTCAATATGCTCTGTATGGAACGTATTTTAACAGTTATAATAGAACAGAAATTTTAATAATTTTGCTGCATCTCATCTTGTCAATATCGACAGGAAAAAAACAGAATTAATTCCCCCTCCCCCCTCTCTGTGGAAGCCTTAGCAAGCCCAAGCTATGACAGAAAAACATAAACAAAGCTTCCCAGTGAGAATCAATGCAATCCTTCCCCAAAGTTAGAAAAAAAAAAAATCCCTAGATTAAAAGTTGAGTACCATAAAAATGCATTAAACAGTGCAACTTTCAAGTCATTACTGATTAGCAGGTATTTACCACTCCCTGCCTGTAGCAGGCCCTTATATGCTTTTAACAAAAATACTAACCCTGCCCTCATAGAAATGCTATCTCAACATCAGTTCTCATTTATATAACAAATATTAACAAGTCCACAAATCAAAACCATTTCTAGGAACTGTGAAGAAACTCATCAGAAAATACTGCAGATCAGTTTAACTATAACTTGTTTATAAACACCTGAAGATTAAAATGAAGTTAAAAAAAAACAAAAAAAGAGAGCACAGCAGGACACTAGTGATAACATCCTCATAATACTTATGGTATTACTTGTACACAGAGCAAATAACACACATGTAAGTTTATGTAATAATAAGTAATATATAATATAAAATAAGGCAGTCCTATAACAGACAAGTGAATAGGAAAAACAACCCTCAAGGCTGTTTATTTTTTTTCTCATTCCCCATCCCATTCAGAAACTTTTAAACCTACCAAGACAAAAAACAGTATGTACCAAGCAGTAAAAATTGCCCGTGTCACTATGTGCACTCAATTATTTTCACCAGCTGCCTGACAAAGTAGCTGCTTGCAAACTACCAGAGATGCTGTCTATGAATATATAGATAAACGTGTGCAAGTTCCGTAGATTTGTGGATTTCAGCTGTGGAAACAATACAGAAAGTATCAAGAGTCATGCAATACTTATTCAATAACCTTGTTGACAAGAACTGTACTAACTACTGATTCACCACTGTTAAGAGGGCTCAAGAGCAAGATGCTGCAGCATACTGCGATACTGGAGAGACTGCAGAACTCAGTTTAACAAAAAAAAGAAAGGAAATAATTTTAAATAAGCTTCAGTTCTGCTAGAAAGTTTGTATGAAATGCTCCTGGAAATGCGTAAGTACAACCTTTGAGTCTACTCACAGAAGACTATCCTATCTCCCTACAAACAAAATCCTACTGCCTGGAACTTCAAAAATGCCACAATAATATTACTATTGTACATATAAGGACATTAGAGAAAAAAATTCCACCTCCTTGCCTTCCCTACAGTGTTGTTTGTATGCAATTTTCTATTGTTTTAAACTCAGTCTGCATTGCAATAAAAGTGGTTTTATAACCAAAAGCTCTATTCAGTTGATTGGCAACAAAGTTCAGTTAATAAACTTTTTCACCGTCACATCTATCCCACTACCTGCATATCACCTGGCACATAAGCACAAAATGTGGTGCTATTCTCTTTTTTAGATTTGCCCAAAAGCAACCAACACAGCTCTTGCACGGTTTCTACACGTCACAGGTGCACCTGAACAACAGTAACTACATGGAAGGATTTCACGTACAAGGACTCCAAATACAGGGTTTTCCTTAAAGTTCAGCCAAGCAACATTTTAGAGATGAAAAGAATAAATTTATGGTGGGTGAGGGTGGTACAGAGAACCAGTGAAGTGTAGGCAACTGGACCATTCCCCTGTTAGATTTGTGGTTTTGGATTCCTAAATGACACATGAACAGTCTGAAGATGAAGTGCTGGGATGCTTCCTGGATGCAGAACTCAACAGGATGCTGGTAAGAACCGGTTGAACAAGCCACACAAACATGACTAGTGCCTTGCACA